TTTTATGAACTGATCCAGAATGAAGTAAGTAGAATCAAAAGAACAAGATGCTCAAGGAACACAATAATGTAAAGGAAAATAACTTTTAAAAATATAAGAACTTGGAATATTGTAAAGGAGGTGGTACCTCAATATATCCCTGATTTCTGGGATGTTTCCTTAGACACTGGAGAAGGAATTTTCCCTTGATTAACACTGGGGACACTCTTTCTCTGTGGATATACACATAACCTGCATGGAAAACACACATGCCCCTATATACAGTATAACTTACATATAGTATAACTGGCAGTGCCAGTCCACCTGCTTTCTTACTTCTTTTCCTTATTATTTTCCTTGATAGTACAAACCTTTGTATAGTCTGGGAGAATCTACATTACCCTCTTCTTTTGTGGAGATTCTCTAGACTCAAGGAAAACGTGAATAGAAACTGATGGAACAATTCTTGATGATCTTAGTTCAGGAAGAGAATTGCCTGTTACCTCCAATTATTCCCAAGATCTTTCCTTTTTTTTTTTTTTAAACAATAGAAGCAGAATCCAGCACAATAGGATAAAAAGGGTGATGGCTGTGCTTTGGGGTCTCTCTTTCTTTTCCCCCTTTTAAACTCTTCCTGTGAGAAGACAACAAAGGAGATCAAGACTGGCCTCAGGCTTTTGTGGCCTGAGCAGCAAGTGCATGTAGCATGCTAGTGCATTCAGGCCAATGCAGGCTGGGAAGACTGGAACCACATCAGCACTGTCTGGTACTAACTGAAGTCTAGCAACTTGTAAGGCGAGGAGGGAATGCATCTTCTTAACTTTGTTGACTAAGCTGGGGAAAGTGAATTCCCCTCTCCACATTCCTTTTCTTCATGAGCCTTAGATATGTGCTTGGTCAGGGGCAGGGGCAGGGGCAGGGGGGTGGGGGGGGATTTACCCACCAAATAACCTGGAAGAGGATGGATACACCTGATAGGGCTTTCTGTATTTACGTTACATTTTATTCCATGTTTTTAAAAACTATATGATCATGACACACTAAGTGAGTTTATGTGGAGGAGACAATGTTGTAATTAATTTGTACTCATTTTGTATCTTTTTCTATGCCTGCATGTTGTTTCTTCTCCTCTCCAAACAGAGTGTAAACACCTAAAAGCAAGGGTGGTTACATTTTGATGTTTGTATCTCCAGTACCTAGAGCACTGTACCTGGCTCTTAGTACAAATGCATAGAGTGGGCAGATATGTGGCACAGTGGACACTCTGAATTGTAAACAAAGATATCCATGAATTGGGGACTGGTCAAATTGTGACATGAATATAATGAAATATTACAATACTGGAAGAAAGGCTGAAGTTATGAATACAGAGAAATACTGAAAGATCTATATGAACTGATGCAGAGTAAAGTAAGCAGAGTCAAGAAAACGATATATACGACTACAACAATGTAAACAGAAAGTACAACCACGGGGGTGGGAGGGATTAGATGTTGTGAAATTATAAAGAACAAACATGACTTGAAAGAAGAGATATGAAAGAACAGTCCTAGCCCAAGGATGGTGGAGGTTTATTGGTGTTGAACATTGCACATGCCTTCCAACTTTTTCAATGTGTTGATTGGTTATGCTGATTTTTTCCTTCTTTGTCTTTTATTGTTTTTGTCTTAAAAATACTATTTGTTATATGGGATGTCTCTCTGGGAAGGGGAGAAGGAGGGATACTAGGGAAAACTATAAAGATGTAAAAACCCAAAAGATCAATAACATTTTTAAAAAGTGCATATATTTATCAAATTTCAAAGTTATTCTGCTTGTCAGTGTTTCGTTCTGAACATTCTTCTACACACTGTAAATGGTTCAATGATGTCCCTCCACCACCCTTTTTTGGCAACACACTGGGGCACAACGAATGTCCCATGTTTTGGCTAGTTTGTCTAGTCCCCATCCCCTGCTCTCTCAACACTGAGAAAAACCCCCCAACAACCCACAATCCTTATAACAAATCATAATAGTCAAGCAAAATAGATTCACATATTTGCCATGTCCAAAAACGTATGTCTCATTCTGCATCTTTGGTCCATCACCCCTCTGTCAGGAGGTAACATACTTCATCATCAGATCTCTGGAGTATTGGTGATTATTGCATTGATCAGAGGTCTTAGTATCTCCCAGGTCATTTTCTTTTTCTCTTTTTAAATTTATTTTCATTCTGAACTTAACCAATACCAAATAAAATGAGTACTCTCACATACATGGTAGAACAGAGGAAGAGGATTTGGGGGGAGGGGTCAGAGTCAAGATAGTGGAGGAGAAGCATTAGAGTCTACGTCACTCACTGCACCTTCTTGACACAGATCTAGAAAACTCACCAGATCTATTTCTGCTCCGAAAAGCCAAGAAGATGGTATGCGTGTGATGGGAATTTTTGATTTTTAAATTTCCTTTTATTAGTCTATTATCCTGGGGTCAGGGCCACTCCTCCTGCAACTTTTGGCTAACTGAAAGCCTGTCTTCTTTTAACCTCACCTAAACAAAAACTGACTCATGGAATAGTGTGAAGGGAAGACTGATATTCCTCATACAGAAGCTAAAGGGAATTTTGACCTTCCCAAAATGATACGTTATATGAAGAAGAATCTCAACTCTCTCCAATTTCTTGGTTATCTTGTTGACATGAAAATCCCCGTCCCCTTTAATCAGCCCATTGTGATCCCTCTAAATGTAGTTTAATCTTTAACCTGACTTAGTTTACCTGTAGAGTCTGTTTAATTACGTTTGTTTCCTTTAGGGATGTATGAGATCATGATTCTGCTTAACTAAGTTTGTTCAACTTTTATATTAAAGGAGGTATGGCATTATGAATCTATCTTTTAAAACTTTTATGGCCTAAGAGAATATAAGAGATTGCAATATGTAAAAGAATAATTTCTCTGTCACTCTAATGTAATTTTGTCTGAAAAGTCTTCTTAGAATTCTGATTTTTGTTCAGGGTTATTTTTCTCTGAAGCTTGAACCTATGCTTAAGCATAATACAAAATAGATTTTTACCTTTATAATTTCTGCATTGTGGTAGATCTACTTTGGCAGTAATAACCTACCATGTGAACTCTCATAACATGAAACTGCAGATCTTTATTATATATAAAACTTGCTTTTCTTTTTAAAGGTAGTGTAGTGTGTGTGTGTGTGTGTGTGTGTGTGTGTGTGTGTGTGTGTGTGTGGTGTCCATGTAGGTTATGTGTACCTGCATAGGTTTGTTTAGCTGTAGCTTGAAGGCATGAATAGATCTAGAGACTCTTCTGTCCATTTCTCCATGGGAGACTGATTCAAAGTCTCTAATGAGGTAATCTGGGGATAGAGAAATGAGAAAAGTGTCAGTTCCTCTGCATGTTAGCTTTTTCCCAGAGTCCTTCTCTTTCTTCAAAGACCTTGCTGAAGAGAATCTGGAACTGGGTGTCTTGAAGCTGGAAGCCAGAATCAAAAGCATCTCTTTTCTCCTTAGCTTCAGACAACTTTGCCCTAATGCAGGCACAGAGCACTCCAACAACAAGTAGTATCTTAAGCAATTAAAAAAAATACTCAGTGACTCTGATTCCCACCCCCCCAAAGGAAAACAAGCCTTTGTAACATATAAGCATTATAAAGTAAAATAGATGTGCAAATGTTCCATGTCCAAAAATGTATGTCTCATTTTGCACCTTGGGTCCATCATCCCTCTGTCAGGAGGTAACATCATCATCATCATCATCATCATCAGATCTCTGTCCAGTCATTGTATTGATGAGAATCCTCAAGGCTTTCAAGGTTGTTTTTCTTCCTAATGTTGCTATTGAATAGTTCGTTCTCCTTGCTCTGTTCATTTCACTGTGCATCACTTCATATTTCCCAGGGTTCTCTGAAACTGTCCATTTCCTCATTTCTTATGGCACAACAATATTCCGTCACAGTCATATCTCACAAGTTTTTCAGCCACTACTCAGTTCTTTGCTACAAAAAGAGCTGCTATAAAATCGGGACTGTGTTTTATCTAAACTTTTGGATAGCTAGTGCCTAGCACAGAACTTTGCATACAGCAAGTGCATATTTACTGATTGACCTGACTGTGTAAACCTTGTGGAAGGTTCCTATGCTGAAAGGTTTCAGGAGTGACTAGTTTGACTAATATCACATTGGTTCAGTCTGAGTCAGAAGGCCTGGACTCCAATCCTAGCTCTGTCACTGCAAAGAACTCTTGTGTGTATTCGCTTAGGATCAAAGAATCAGAGATCATCTAGACCTCGAACTTGGGTGTTTCTAAAAAAATTATTTTGACAACTGCATTTCATTATAGTCCTCCCCTCCCCCCCTCCATTAGAATGTTAGGCAGGGATTGTTTTTGCCTTTCTTTGTAAACCCAGCGCTCAGCACAGTGCCTGGTTCATACAGCAAGCGCTTAATGAATGCTTTCCGACTTGATTCTCCTTTGCAATCCTATATATTTTATTTTATCCATTTAAAAACATTGCTCTTTATGGTCATTTATTTTTATTATTTATTAATCGCCTAAAGGGGAGTCAATAATCTTCACCAGACTGTCAAAGGGGTCCATAACGCTATAAACTTCGGATCTGGTTCAACCCTGAAAGATGCAGCCAAAGACTTGCGGCGGAGGGTGGGGTAGGGTGGAGTGGGGTGGGGTGGGCATTGCGATGGCTGGCTAGCTAGTAGCAAAGCTAGGATCTGAAATGTGTTCCTTTAAGTCTCTGCCTTTTACTTTTTCCCCTGAATTACTTAAGCTGCGTCTTTGGGGCTGAAAACCTCGCGCGGCTTTTAGGTGGAAAAAGCCACGGAAGTCTCGGAAGCAGACAAGCCTGGGCTTGCTTTTCCTCCAGCGGGTGAAATAGGGAGGTGCGGCCTTAAGAGCCCGCCCCTCGAACGGCCCCCACGGCTGCCGCCGGCCACTGACAGTGGAAGGCTTGGCCCTTGGCAGCATCCCCCTCCGCCTCTCGCAGGAAGCCAAGCCCGCGTCAGGAGACTCTTGCGGAAGCATCGAAGGCTGGCAGCTTATGCGCAGGCCACTGGGGCTCCATGGTGCCAGTGCGCGCGTGGGTCCGGCTGCTGCTGAAGCCCCTGCATCCCCTCGGGCCCCAGCTAGCTCCTGCACCAGGCCACGGGAGGCTCCGCTCCCTGGCCCCACTGGTCCGGCTTCAGCACCTCTGGTCCCCGGGGCTGACCATGGCATCGGGCTCCGAGGGGAAGCTGCAGCGCGCTCCGCCCTATGGTTGGCCCATGGGTAATCCCCCTGTTTGTTTAGCTCTTTTACCCTGCTGAGGAAAGGCGACTCCCAGGCTTTCTCTGCTTTTTAGATTTGGAGCTGGAGAGGGCCCTTAGAACACAGATGGTTGGAACATAGAATGTTAGATCTGTTTGGAACCTGGAAACCGGATTTGTTAGAACTGGAAGGGCCGTTGGAACAGGTGTCGCAGATATAAGAGACGTTAGAATATAGAATGTTAGCGCTGTAAGAAACCTTACAACGTGCATTGTTAGAGCTGAAAGGGCTCTTAGAACTTGAGTGTCCCAGGTAGAAGGGACTTGACCTGTTCTAAAAGTATTAGAACATAGAATGTTGGAGCTGGGAAGGCCCTTAGAACAGGTGAAAGTATCACAGATATGAGGGACTTAACCTGTTCTAACATTATTAGAACCATAGAATGTTGAAGCTGGCAGGGCCCAAAGTGTCCCGGGCATAAGGGACACCGGCTTTATAGTTCTGGGCAAGTCACTTAAGCTGTCTCAGTTTTAGTTTTGTCATTTGTAAAACCTGCCTCAGGGCTTTTGTGAGGATCAAAAGAGGTGACATAGAAAATGAACTATGAAAATGTTAGCCATTATTATTATTAGTGTAGAAGGTTAGTGATGGAAGGAATCCAATCTTCCTCCTTTTTCTTGATGGTGCAACAGGCTTAGAGAGGTTTTATGGTTTGTCCGTGGTTACAGACATAATAAGTAGGAGGAAGGAAATATGCATTTATATAATGTCTGCTATGTGTCAGGCACTGTGCTAAGTTTGCAAATATTATCTCATTTGAACCTTACAACAATCCTGGGAGGTAGGTGCTGTTATAATCCCCACTTTACAGCTGAGGAAACTGAGGCAAACAGAGGTTAAGTTATTTTCCCAGAGTCACACAGCTAGTAAGTGTCAGAGGCTGGATTTAAATGTTGTAGAACCTATTTCCTGTTATATCTGGGCCAGGTTACTTAGACTACAGTTGATTCGTTGGTGTGGGTGCACCTTTTGAGTGCATATGGCAATCCCTTTGTGCCTTTTTGGCCTGTTCAATTCTTGTCCATACTCTTCTCTAAATACTTAAGAAAGAACTTATTGAGCGTGCTAGATGCCTCCTTTTTTTTTCCCCTTAACTGTAAAACCCACTTTACAGATGACAAAATGTGGTTGAGTTTTGCCTGAAGCCCCATGGTGTTACAGATGGAGCTGGAACCCCAGTTACTTCATATTTGTTCCAGCCCGCTTTTGAATGTATCACTGTCGCTTGTCCCTGTAGTCACAACCAATTTCAAGTTAGTTTGAAATGAATACTGTCTGGTGGAAAGAACACTATACAGTCTTTTGGGTGTGAGTCCTGGGCTTGAGTCCTAGCTCTTTTTATATGCTACTTGTATTACTTTCACTAAGTTATTTTTCCTCTCTGAGCTTTATTTTCCCCATCTGTAAAAAGGGAATAATAATAATTGTTTTATCTACTTAAGAGTTTTTTTGATGATCAAATGATATGAAGTATGTAAAGCTCTTTGTAAAAATGAAAGTCACCATGTAAATGTAAGCTATGACTGCTTTTTCCTATTCTCTGTACTCAACAATTCACTCACTGAATTGAAGGGGGTGAAGGTAGGGAAGGAAATAAGTATTAAGTGCCTCCTGTGTGCCAGGCACTGTGCCAAACACTTTACAAATACTATCTAATTTGAAGGGAAGAATAGTATAGCCTAAACATATAGTTCTGTCTTTTGAGTGCCTAGAATAGGCCCTTGTACACAGTAAGTACTTAATAAATGTTTATTGAATGGTAAAACTCTCTCCTTAGTTTATTTGTATTTTTAATGGACCCCAGCCTCTGAGTGGGGAGAAAGGAAGATATTTGGGTCTCATGGAGTCCAATAGTTTCATTTTATAGATGAAGAAAGTGAGGCCCAGGGAGATTAAGTGACTTGCAACTAGTCTGTAGTAGAGCAAAGATTAGAGCCCAGGTTCTGGGACTCCAAGGCCAGCGCTATTTCCATGAAACCATAAATGTTTCATGGTCTGTATTCCTGGAGCAAGAGTGATTATTGTCATTAATCATCATTTGGCAGTTTTGTTGGGTTATTTTCATGCTCCCCTTTTGAAGCATATTTTGCTTTACTCATTGGTGTAAGTTTAAATTCTGGCTTCAAAAGTAAAATGTTGCCAAGTCATGCCTTTCATGGGCTAGAGCAGAGGTTCTCAAACTTATTTGGCCTTCCACCTTCTTTAAAAAAAAGTACTCAGTGTACCCGTGGAAATCTACTTTCTTTAACCCTTTAATGGTTTTAAAAAATGTCATTTCAAAAAAAAAAATAATTTTTAAAAATGCTGCATTTTAAATTTAATGATTTTGTTAATTTGTGTTTTTCCCTGCATTGAAATTTTGATGATGCAGTATTACATCATGTAACCATATAGTTTTGTATTGTAAACAAGTAATTACACACACACATTCCTGCCGATGCATGCTGGACTTCCCCAAGATACACTTGCCTGCCAACACTTGCTTGTTAAGACCTGTTGTCGGACTTGACCACTGATTGGTTATAACTTGCATTTTGTGTGTTTATTTGGAAAATAATGTAATCACTACAACTTGACTCTGTTACACAGCACGGTTTTTCAAATTTTTCTTCTCTTCTCTTCTTTCCTTATGCTCCCACTGCCCCCTTATTTTTATTCAACATCCCTCAATTGGCGTGAGGCTACTACGACTCTGGGCGGGGTATCACCTACTTTGGGAACCTCTAAGAGTACTTCTTCAGAAGTAACCTCCTTGGGTGCTCTCCTGCTGAGCTGCTAAGTAGTGCCTGTGGTTTCAATGATAAACTGCTACTTGCCATAGTGGTTAAAGTGCCGGCCTTAGGCACTTATGAGCTGTGTGACCCTGGGCAAGTCACTTGACCCTTTTTATTTCAGTTTTCTCATCTGTAAAATGAGCTGGAGAAGAAAATGGCAAACCACCCCAGTGTCTCTGCCAAGAAAACCCAAATGGGGTCACAATCAGACACAGCTGAATGACAGCAACAAGGCCATGCTGGAACATGGAAGGCCATGTGTAGTTTTACATAGTTTTTCCAAAATTTTGATTAGGGAGGTGAAATTTATTATTATTACTTTAATAATTTGTTGTTGTTGACTCATGTCCAATTCTGTGACCACATGTACCACAGCACACTAGGCCAGGGATGGGGAACCTGCAGCCTCGAGGCTACATGTGGTCCTCTAGGTCCTCAAGTACGGCTTTTTGACTGAATCCAAACTTCACAGAACAAGTCCCCATAATAAGAGGATTTTATTATTTTAAATAAAAATAACTTAATTTAAACTCAGGTCCTCCTGACTCTAGGGCCAGTGCTCTATCCACTGCACCACCTAGCTGCCTCATTTCGTGTAGACTTCATGATATAATAAGATAAACCCAAATACAGTGATATTTAGCCTCCTTGAAATAACTGTTTCAACTATGATTACTTCTTTTCTTTTTTAGATAAACATGAGAAAAATGAAAGGGACCAGAAGTCAGTGGTAAGTACTTATTTATATCCACACCCTCTATTGTAGGGGATATGTTTATACTTTGTCTTGAGATTTTTAGAAATGTAATTCAGTGTAACACACATTTATTAATCATCCACTGTGTGGAAGGGATACAGAGATACAAATAAGAAAGTCTTTGCCAACCAGGACCTTATAATTTTACTGAAGGAAATACAACATAAACACTGATAAGTAAATCCTAGAGAATTTGAGGAGGAAAGCATTAATGAGGGCAGGGAGGTGGGGAGGAATTGGGTCAAGCTTCTCTTAGGAAGCTCAGGGGGATTCTCAGAGGTGGAGGTGAACAGAGAGTGCATTCTAAGCTGGAGGCCATCTTAGGGGAGATGCACTGTTAAGTGCCAATTTTTCTGGAACGTAATAATGTGAAACGAGTTTACAGATGTGAGTAGGGGCCAGATTGCCAGGTTGGTGAAAAAGATTATAAAATAATTGATGAAGCAAGAAATAACACTTTTTAAGGATTTGTGGAATTGACATCTTGTATTAGAAGCAGTTAGTTAGAACAGTTCTAGACTTGGATTTAGGAAGTCCAGAATTCAGATCTTCTCTCTGAGGCTTACTAGCCAGGCAGCTAGGTGGTACATTGGTTTGAGTGCCTGCTCCTGAGTCTGGAGGACCTGAGTTCAAATCTGACCTCAGACACTTCCTAGCTATGTGACCCTGGGTAAGTCATTTAACCCTATTTGTCTCCCAGAAAAAAAAAGTGAGAATGAGGCTTACTAGCTATGTGGCTCTGGTCAAATCAATGGGCATAATAATAGCATCTATCTTACAGAGTTGTGAGAATTATGAGGTTATTTGTAAAGCACTTTGAAAACTTTATAGTGCTACTTAAATGCTAACTATCATTATTACTACTACTAATACCCTCATATCTTCACTTTGTATCAGAGCTGCTTTAACAGAGTTATTTTTCACCTTTATCTCTCTCAGAAGGCAGAAAGAACGTAGGATTGGGAAGCAGTAGGCCTTGGTATCAGTCCTGGTCCTACTACTGACAGACTGTGGCTTTGGGCAAGTCACTTTCCTTGTCTGAGCCTCATCTAGAAAAATGAAGGCATTGGACCAGATCTCTTTTAGCTCTAAAGCTATGATCCTGTAGGATACTCATTCCCTTTTGAGCCTCAATTTCCTCTTTTACAAAATGGAGGTCATAATACTTTCACACTGTCTACCTGTCAGTGTTGTTATGAAGAAAATGCCTTGTAAACCTTAAGTCTTGTGAGTCAAGTCAACAAGCATTTATTAAGACCCTACTATGTGCCAGATGCTCTCCTGAGCAGTGGGAATACAAGACAAGGCAAAAATGTCCTGATTTGCTAAGAGTCCACAATCTAATGGAAGAGACAACATGCGAATAACTTGTTACAAGTAAGATAAATATAGGATTAAATAGGGATAATCACAGAGGATAAGGAACTAGTTTTTTTTTTAAATCATTTGGAGACAATTGGAAGTAAGTGACTTGACTAGGGTCTAAGACTAAGTATCTGAGGCTCGATTTGAACTCGGATACTCCCAACTCCAGGTCTGGTGCTGTATCCACTGTGCCACCTAGCTCTTTTTTTTTTTTAATTTGGAGGCAGTCAAGGTTAAAGGAATTATCATTGAGGGGGACTGGGGAAAGGTTTCTTGTACAAGGTGAGATTTTAGCTAGGACTTGGAGGAAGCCAGGAGGCAGACAGAGGTGAGAAGGGAAAGCATTCCAGGCCTGGAGGGACAGCCAGTGAAAATGAAGAGTCAGGAAATGGAGCGTCTTGTAAGAAACAGCAAGGAGGCCAGTGTCACTGTTACTGTCACTAGGGTACATGGAGGAGAGTAAAGTGGAAGAAGAGTGGAAGCGACCAGGCAGTGAAGGGCTTTGAAAACCCTGGGAGGTGTCTTCATCCTCCTCCTCCTCCTCCTCCTCCTCCTCCTCTTTCTTTCTTAGCTCTTTCACAGGAGCATTCTGAGAAATTAGAATAAATCATCATAAATACAAACATCAGTTTGCTTATTTTTATCCATAAAAACAAATGCATTGTTTGCTTATTAATCATCTCAATGACTGTATGTTCACTGTATGGTGGTTATTATTACTCCACTAAAGCCTTCTTCTAATCCCACCTCCTATTCTGACCCTGGGTTCAAGGCCATGCCAACACAGCTCCAGTTCGGGTCCCTCCCACCACATAAGAAAGGCTCATGGATGGAATATGTATGTCTCTTATCTCAAGACCAGTCTGGCCACGTGCAGGAAGCCTCATCACTAAAGGGCTAGCCATGAGTGGATCAGTTTTCACATCAGCTCAAAGGGACCTACTAAAGTATGAAAGGGTTTCCCTCTGCCTTCGTAGAGGGAGTAGCAACACTGAGGAAATCAGGAATCCTTGAACTACTGAAGTTATAGTTGTTATTTATAGATCTAGCTGACACTGTGGCTCTTTGTTTCCCATCCACCCCCACCATGACTGTTATCCTGATCCCTGATATTTCTGGGTCTTATATCTAATAACAATTTATCTTTCATCAGATCTGTATCGAAGGTAACATCGCGAGTGGGAAAACGACATGCCTGGAGTACTTTTCTAAAACCACTGACATTGAGGTACTGATCCAGAAGTATTGTGCAAGATTGTATAAGAAGTATTGGATAAAGCTGAGAGAGTCTAACCGGATGAGGCAATTGTGAAAACATCATGGTCTTCCAGGGTCTAGTTGGGATCTAAGTATGATCATTGCCTACTGGACATTCAAGGTCTTTCATAGACCTTCTCCAAATCAATCCTTCAAACCCCTTACAAGTGAATTGTTGTTGTTAGTGTTATTATTAATCAGTCAGTAAGCATTTATTAAGTACCTGCTACCCGACAGGCACTGTGCCAAGCCCTGGGGGATACAAAAAGAGGCAAAAGACAGTCCCTGCCCTCAAGGAGCTTACACTCTAATGGGGAAGACAACAAGAAAACAAATATGGACAAGCAAACTAATCATACAGTATTAATAAGAAGTAATTAACAAACAGAAGGTACTAGAATCAAGAGGGCTTGGGAAAGGCTTCCTATAGAAGATGGGGTTTTAGTTGGGGCTAAATTATCTATTATTTTTATCATTATTATTTTGTTGTTATTTTCTCATTCTTATGTTCAAAGGTTCAGGTAGAAATGGTTGTGGGACAAGTCACTATCCTGCTATTTAAACATATTTAATGTTTTGTGGACTGTTCCATAGATGGATAAAATAATTACTTTTTGTAATTGAGTACAGGCTTTAAAATATAAGTTCATCCTCTATAGACTCACTGAAATAGCATTCAGTCCAATAGCAGACAAGGCAACAGGGAAGAAAATAACTGAGCCTGTTCCTATATCTCTTCTGTGTCTTCTAGACATTGTGTTCTGAATAATTTTATTATTATTATTATTATTATTATTATTATTATAATCATCATCATCTCATAGGAATTTTCAGACTTCCTGCATTCTGGGCAAACTGTTCTGCTCCTTGCTTCCATTCTTATTCTGCCCTCTCCTGTCCCTGGGTTTTTGCTTCTCCCCAAAGCCTGGAATAATCTCTCTTCCAATTCCATCTGTTGGAGTGCCTTCTTTTCTTCAAGGCCCCCCTCCAATGCTGCCGCTTCTATGAAGCCTTCTTGTATCCTTCCCTCTCACCCCACAAATGAATGCAATTTCTCCTTTCTCAGTTTTCTAATAGCATTTTGTCTGAATCAGTTCTTAACCTTGGGTCCATGGATCCCTAGAGTGTTTGTGTGTAGATTTCAAGGGGTTTGTGACCTTGGATGGGAAAAAAGTGACATAATAATAGCTAACATTGATGTAGGTTTGCAAAGTGCTTTATAGATATTAAGCTCACCAGATCCTCACCACAACCCTGGGAGGTAGGTGCTGTTATTTTAATAATAATAATTATAGTAGCTAATGTTTATATAGTGTTTGCTATGTAAACTGTGCTAAGTGCTTTACAATTATTATCTCATTTGCTCCTCACAACATCCCTGGGAGGGAGACGGGTGCTATTATTATCCCTGTTTTACAGTTGAGGAAACTGAGGCAGATGGAGGTTAAGTGACTTGCATTCACTGAAGACTTCAGTGGATCTGTGATCTTCAATGTGGATGATTTTCTCCCCCATCACAGCTTGTAATCCCTCCACACCCTCTCATCCAATAGGATTCTTGTTATTCATGCCTGTGGAATTATTGTGCATTAGAGCTGGAAGGATCTTAGATACCAACTTGCTAGCTCCCATGCCTTTATTTTGAAAGAGAAAGTGATTGCCCAAAGTTATACATATAGTAAGTGGAAGGGCCAAGAGATTAGGATCCAGGTTGTGAGCTCTCCCTGTCCCTCCCCACTCTGCCAACTAGACAATTCTTGACCCCGTGAAACCAGGGGTGATGCCTGCCCTGAGACTCAAAGGAGAGAATTCTCTCACTTCACTTTGTGAATGTAAGCAGTAAAGCAAATTCTCCCTGATGCTGGGGGCTGAGAAGCAAGGGTGTGTAGGGAATAGAGGGCCAGTCTCAGAGTCCGGAAGACCTGGGTGCAAGCCGGGATAGATCCCTTAGGACCACAAGGCAGTTAATTCTGGAAGGCCCCAAGTTACAGGTGAATTCCTCCTTTGTATCAGAGGATGGAGTTTCTACCTTGGGAGTTCTTCTCATTGCTGAAATTGCAGGTCCAGAATTCCACCCCTTCCACAAAGACCCCAAAACAATTACTTGAAAAACAAGGATATTTAATCTGCCCCCACTTATTTGCTTGCTTTGCTATGAGGAGTTTGTAGGATCACAGACCCCTCAAAAGCCAACTGGTCCAACCCCCTCATTTTATAGAGAATAGCTAACATCTCTATAGCTATTTAAGCTTTGCAGAGTACTTTGTAAATATGTTCTTTTTTTGTGCTTCCAACAATCCTGGGAGGTAGGTGCTGATACAGTTATCTATTCCATATCTTAACTGTCCCCGTCTTGGTTTTGATACACTGTGAGTCTATATAAGAAATTAAATGGGAATTTTTTGAGAGTTTCGTGGAAGCTGCAGATGACACTTGAGGGTCAGCAGATGACACAGAAAAAGTTTAGAAACTTAGAAATGCTTAAAATATGTGCATAGCATCGTATAATATTGACATATTTTGTCTTTTAATACCATAAATATACACAATTTCTTTTTTAAAGTTAAAATACGACCAAATACTTAACCCAAATTTTACAATAAGGTTCTGTAAACATATACAAGAAAAAGAAAAAGAAAAAATTCGGACTTCTTCTCTGGAATGAAGGGAGGGCCAAAAAATTTGATGCAGATTTTCCAGGTTGTGGGGGCATGGCAGTCCTAACCCTCGTGATATGGAAGGGATAACTGTATTATCCTCATTTTCCAGAAGAGGAAACTGAGGCAAACAGAAATTGACTTTCCCAGGGTCACACAGTATAAATCTGGTCAGGCCAGATTTATACTCAGGCTTTCTTGTCTCCAGGTTCAGCACTCTATCCATTTCACCTGGATAGCATTACTACAGATGACAAAACTGAGACCCTGGAGGGCCAAGAGTAATATGTAATAAGCCTCATGGATGGTATTGAAACCCATGTTCCAGGACTCATTTTCTTCTTCTGCTTCCCTGAATCTTCTCTTTTTCTGTCAGGGATTCCACCAGTCTTCCCATTTATCCAGGGAAATTTAAGCTCTCAGTGGCATTCTCTAGTCCTCACTCATCTCACATATCCACACTGTTGTCCTTGGTGTAAGTCTCTTGCCTCTACTCACGTAACAGCCATCCTGATTCAGGTTCTTACCACCTCTCACATGGACTATGGCAGGAGCCTTCTGGTTGGTCTCCCGCTTTGGGTCTTCCATCCCTCCTCTCCAGGCATCTTCTCTGGCTGATCCCCCTGCCTGGAACCCTTCCTTTCTCTGGCTGTGAGTACTGACCTCTTGACTTCAAGTCCCTGCTAAAATCCCATCTATAGGAAGCCTTCTTCTAGAGGAACCCCTTGGATTCTAGTACCTTCCCTCTGCTGGTTATTTTCTATTTATCTTGCACATAGTTTGCTTTGTACATATTTGTTTGCATGTTGTCTCCCCATTAGATTGGAAGCTCCTTGAAAGCAGGGATGTCTTTTGCTTCTTTTTGTATCCCCAGTGCTCAGCACAGTGCCTGACCCACACTAAGCCTTAATTAATAAATGCTTGTTGACTGCTCCTTCCATGATACCACCAGCACTTTCTGCTCTATTTCAGCCCTAGTTGATAGGGATTAGATAAATAAAAAGTGTTTTATTATTCATTTCTCCCCAGGGGAAAGGAGCTAGGAAACCTGTTGCTAAAGATTGCTGCCAGCTACAATTCAGCTAGCCAGCTCTCCATGTACTAACAGGCCCTCGCTGAGGCCAGAGCCCAGTTAGAGACAGAGTTCTCTAGGGAGGTGTATTAATGGCAAAGCCTGAGGCATTCCCGGAAACATTCCTGAGTGTGACTAGGGTGCCCAGTACTTCAAAAGGAACTCTGTGCCCTAATGGGATAAATAGTCATTGACTCGTGATGTTTCTGATTTCAGTAGGTGTGTGTCTTGCCCAGTAAAATACCAAAGGAGGAAGGGAAAGAAAACTTGAAGATGAATTCCATCCCCTTAGGGGAGGCATAATAGCAGCTTAATCATTCACTTTGCGATCTGTTGTGCTCTAGGGGGCAGCGAATTTATAGCGGGAGGACCTCGAATTAGGACTTTGCCACTTATTTTGTGACCTTGAACAAGTTAATGTCTCTGGGCTTCAGTTTTCTAATTTATAAAATTCATTAATGCTTATATGTTCCACTTGTGGATCAGGTACTTGGTACTTGGTGATGGGCATGCAAGAACAAAAGTATCACTGTCCCAGCCCTCAAGAGCTTATTGGAGCTTGGTGGGGGTGGGGTGAGGAGAGGGACACGTACACAAATAAGTCAATACAAAACATACAAAATAAACGTAAGTTTTTTTGTGGGGGAAGGGCACTAGCATATGGGGCGGTATTGAACTGATACTCTAAGGAAGCTTGGGATTCTGTGAGGGGCAGGTGAGAAGGGCAGGTGTACATTCTAGGATGGAGAGGGGGGAACCTATGAGAAGGGAGATGGGATGTCATTTATGCGGATCAGCAAATTGGCCAGCTTGGTCGGACCATAGAACTATGTGAAGGTTAGTAATGTAGCAGAGGTGTCAAATGTGCTGCCCACAACACTCCTGAGTGGGTGTGAACCAGATTAAAATATAATTGGGAAATATTTGACAAAATGAATATATACAGTAAAATGCAGATATTACATTTTAAAACCAAGTCAATATGCAGCCCCCAGGGGTCCTTATGTACAGTATAGTGGCCTCCTATTCTTTTTGTACATCATTGGTATACAGTACACTTGGAAAGGTAGGCCAGAGGCAGACTGTGAAGGTCTTTAAATGCCAAACAGAGGAATGAGCATTTTATCTACTACTCCTTGAAAAAGCTGTCTGTATTCCTTTTCTCTACTTCCTTTCCTTTCTCTCCTTACTTGCCTCTTAGGAGTCTGGTGTCTGATGTTATCATGCAAATGAAACTGCTATACCATAAGCTAATTTGGAGAACATGGAATAGTTTATTTGTCAGATCTATGGATAGGGGAAGAATTTAGGACCAAATAAAATATAGAGGGCATTACAATATATAAAACAGGTAATTTTGATTATATAAAATTAAAAAGTTTTTGCACAAACAAAACCAGTACAACTAAAATTAAAAGGAAAGCAGAAAATTGGGTAAATTTTTTTTTTTTGCAACAAGTGTCTCTGAAAAAGGCCTCATTTCTCAAATATACAGAAAACTGAATCTAATTTATAAAAATACAAGTCATTCTCCAATTGATAAAGGGTATGAACAGGCAGTTTTCAGACAAAGAAATCAAAGCTTTCTATAGTCACCAGAAAAAATGCTCCAACAATCTCTTAATTGCCACATTTGACAGTATTTTCTCAGTCCTTGTTCTTGATTTACCAGCTTCATTTGACACTGTTGACCCTCCTTGCCTCCTGGATATTCTCTCCTCTCTAGGTTTCCATGACACTGCTCTCACCTAATTTTCCCTGAATGTTCTTCTCCATTGTCTTTGCTGGCTCACTATCCATATCATGTATCTTAACTGTGGGTATGCCCCAGGGATGTGAGCTGTACCCTCTTCTCTTCTCTCAGTAACCTCATCGTCTTCTGTGGGTTTGTTGGGTTTAATATGATTCATAGATATATCTGTATCTACCTATAGTTGTAGATATTGATACAGATGATAAATACTGGTATAAATACATTATATGTATCTAGAAAGAGATAGCTATATGTAGATAGAGGTTTCTATCTACATACAGCTATTTCTTTATCATCTACCTGCCATCTATTATCTATCAATGTATATATCTATGTATAAAGGTATGTATGTATGTATGTATGTATATATGTATCTATTATCTATCACCCCAGTGTCTCCCCTGAGCTTCAGTCTTGGGACACCAGTTGTCTATGGGATATTCAAGCTGGATTGCCCTTGGACATTTCAAACCATCACCCATTGCCTATTAGACATTTCAAACTGGATGTCCCAGAGACATCTTAAAATCCACATATCCTAAACTGAACTCATCTTTTCCCCCAAGCCCTCTTTTCTTCTAAACTTCATTATTTCTATTGAAGACACCATCACCCCTCTACCTTCCCAAGTTTGTAGCTTCCCCTCTATCCTTGATTCCACACTCCCCCTCATCACATATGGTCAGTCAGTTTTCTTATATTTCTGTTTCTACCTCTATGACCTCTTTCCTAAATGATCCGTCATCCCTGCCCACACACATAGCTACTAGCTTAGTTCGGACCTTATTACCTCTCACCTGGATTACTAAAGCTGCCTCTGGACTGGGCTCTCTGCCTTAGATTCTCATCACTGTAGTCTCCCCAACACACTGTCAAAGTTGTTTTCTTTAAACTCAAGGATAGGGGCTTCCTCCTCCAGGCAAACACTCACCCAGAATGGATTCTATTTATACTCCGAACAGAAATTGGGTTTTCCAGTTAGGTAGGGAGCATGTGCTTTGGGGCCTAGGAGTAATCTCATCACCCCGCCATGCCCTTCAGATACTGCCTGACCTTTTCAGAAGTTGGATCTTAATAGAAATAGGAAGAAAAGGGTAGATCAAAAATTAATAATAAGTTATTAATGTAATAGTAAAATATTAATTTCTCTCAATAACTGGCCCAAATTTATCTTTCCAGCCTAGTTGGATGGACATTGCTTGGACATTACTCTCCTGTACACACTGATCAGCCAAACTGGCCCACTCTGTGTTGCTTACACACCCTTCTCCATGCCTCTGCATTGGCTATTCCACAAGCCTGGGATGCATTCCACGTTCCTTCTGCCTCATAGAGTACCTACCTCTCTTCCTTCAAGAAGACTCAGGCACCTTCTGCATGAATGTATCTTCCTACTGCTATCCCCCTCCCCCGGCTTGCCTACCTTCCCAGACTACCTTGTATTTAATAACTCTTTTGCATTTATTCTCTTTAAATTTATTCTGTATACACACATACCCCCCCACATATATATGTATATATGTATGTGTGTATATATATATATATACATATAAATATAAATATTCCCCCCATTAGAATGTTAGCTCCTATGACTTGGGAATTGTTTAATTCATCATTATACTTATGTTCCTAGCACCTGGCACATATTTGGCCCTTAATAAGTGCTTGTTGATTATTTTTTTTCTTGGGTAGGGGAATTTTATCTTCAGACTTGTGTTTTGGGAATTATATCAATTTCACCTATGTGTGGAGAATGGAGAGACTGGAGGAAGGGAGACTTAATTAGGAGGATGCTGCAGTAGTCCAGGTAAGAAGTGATAAGGGTCTTTTTAGTGGAAAGGAGAAGACTAAGAGAGAAATATTGTGGAGGTAAAACTTACAGTAGAGTTAGTGTTTGCAGCCAGCTGGCCCTAAGCAGCCCACAAACTAGCCGACCTAAACTAGATTAAAATGTAATTGGGAATTTTTTAACAAAATAAGTAAAAATATAATATAACACAGGTAATGTTAATTTGTGATTTTCTAAGCCAAGATACTGGCTTGTGAATTGTGGACTTTTGAGAGTCCTTTGGACAGCAAGGAGATCAAATCAGTCAGTAATTGGTTCAAACTATTCACTCAGAGGTCAAATACTGAAAATTAAATACTCTGGCCACATAATGAGAAGGTGGGACTCATTGGAAAAGACTCTGATATTGGGAAAGATTGAAGGCAAAAGGAGAAGGGGATGGCAGAGGATAAGATGGAGAGATAGGGTCATATGAACTTGGAGAGACTTCAGGACATAATGGAGGATAGATGGGTCCATGGTCCATGGGATCATGAAGAGTCAGACATGGTTGGATAACAACAAAAAACAATATGCTGCCACAGGGATCCATTTCCATTTGACTTTGACGTAACTGCCCACAGATTGGGCAACTGATTGAAAATGGGGAGTGAGGGACTGTGAAGGGTCACGGATTACACCGAAGCGGTAAACGTGAGACAGAAAAAGTAAATTTAGAAAGGTGGAAGCTTTGGAGGGAGAAGATAATGAGTTCTGCTTTGTGAATGTTGCAGTTTAGATATTTATAGGGAGGCCAGTGGGCAGTTTTGTCCATCCTTCATCCTGCAAGCTGAGAGGCACTAAATTCAAGAGGGAGTGAGTAGAGCTTGGACTCATGTCCCTTACAGTCTCTCTCAGCCGTAAATCTGTGTGAATATGTGTGACATATGATGTAATCTGAATTGGATTTCCGAGGCAGTTGGTGAGACATGATTGAAGATAGACTGTAGCAGAATAAAAAGGGTGTCCCAAAAGTCTTCATGCAGGTTTTTTTTTTTTTTTAAAGCAAAGAAACCTATTTCTCCAAGTCAATAGCAAAACCAGAATGAGAGAGTATATATCAGACAATACAGTGTGAAGGAGCTTTCCCATTGGGAGCGAGGTAACTCTGCTGGAACAAGAGAGAGAGTCCTAGATATCATCTCAGGGGACATTGCCTGAATCTCTAGTGTAGTCGCCTGGGGACATAGGGAGATTGCCAGCTCCTCTCATGACATTTTCTTCCCAGTCTTTTCCTTTCAGCAACCTGAAATGGAACTGACAGCTGTCCTTCAGCTTGCAGTGTTGCCTGGGATACCAGGGTTAAGTGACTTACCCAGGGTCACTTACCAAGTCTTTTTGACTCCAAAACCAGCTTTCTAACCACTCGCTGAGATAGCTCTCTTTCTTAAGTAGGTGCTTTAGAAGGCTTATGAAATCTTCATAGAAGACCCAGCCTTGAAGGAGAGCTTCAAAGCTGCACCTCATTAAATTTAAGACAGTATGGGATGAGTTGAAATACTGAGGTGGACTAACAGGCCAGCTAACAAGGACAGAAGGGAGTTTTGGGTTGAGTTTTAAAGGAGGTGAATGACTTAGATTGGTAGAGAAGAGGAGCCCCCTTTGGCCACGGAGAGGAATTATTACTGCAGTAAAACACAAGCTCCTTGAGGGCAGGCTCTATATCCCTAGGATTTAGCATAATCCCTTAAGTATGGGTTAGGTGGGTCAGGTCTGCCCGTGCTAAGGTGGGAAATGCCTGGAGGCCACTTCTCTTTCTCTCTTAACTAGGGCCTAGCAAGGACAGGGCACTCGGGAGCCCCATTCCCAAGTGGATCTCTGCTCCAAGATGGCACAGCTGGACAAATCAGAGAGATTGAAGCCCAGATTAACTGAAAGGAAAAACTCAAAGTCTTTTGCAGTGTGAGCCAGTGTTCTGAGGGGAAGGAGTCTGGACTCAGCCACTCACTCTCTATCTTCCCTTCTCTGGGCCTCAGTTTTCTTCCACTTCGAAAGTGAGGGGTTAACTGTAATAGTCTTTGCTGTGGCTTTGACATTTCATGTATCAAGGCCCATTAACCTTAATCAGTCAACAAGCATGTGATAGGTTAAGTGCCTATTCAGTGCCAGGTTCTTTTCAGTTCTGATTTTTTTTTTTTTGGTTGGTGATCCTTGGTTTCTGTTTTCCATTTTCCAGGTTTTGACAGAGCCCGTATCTAAATGGAGAAATGTCCGCGGCCACAACCCTCTGGTGAGTGAGCTGGGGGGGGGGGGGGGGGGGCCGGCGGCCCGGGGGGGGGGGGGGGGGGGGGGGGGGGGGGGGGGGGGAGCCTGCTGCTAGCCTGGAGAGACTAGAGCGTCTCAGAGCTGTGCCTTAGCACACTGTATGGATGTTTGAATGAAAAGAACAGTGGAGGACAGACAGGCGGCCGGGCAGAATTCTACCCATGGATAATTTGGGACTATCAGGGCTGATGGGAGGGGCAGGAAGTAAAATAAGCTGCAGATAGTACTCTCCAGTGGATACTTTGGAAAACCACAATTTGCTGTTTGCAATTAGGAGACAAAGCAGATTGAACACTGGACCTGGAGTCAGGAAGACCTGAGTTCACATTCTGCCTCAGACACTTAACTAGTTGTGTGACCCTGGGCAAGTCACTTAACCTTTCTCTGCCTCAGTTGCTTCATCTGTAAAATGGCAGTAATAATAGCCAACCTCCCCTCTAGGGTTGTTGTGAGAATAAAATGAGATAATATTTATAAAAAACAAAACAAAACCCAACCACTTTGCAGAACTTTTGCAGCTGTTGTTAGTTGCTTGTTCAGGGATGATGTGTTAAAATCCATAATTATTAATATAGAGTCATGGATTTTGTGGGGATTGCTGGCCTGGAGAAGGTGAAGTTCAAGACTGTGAGGCTTAGATTTTTTTCAGAAGGAGCATTTTAACATTTTCTTTATGACTTTGAGCAATCCCTGTCCTCTCTGTGGACCTAAATTTTCTTATCAGTACAGTAAGATGAGAAAACTGGTCTTTGGACCTAAATTTCCTTATCTATCCAGCAAGATGAGAAGACTAGACTAGAAAATCGCCAAGGTCTGGGCCTGCTATGTTCTAATATCACTTTCAGCTTTGACAATTTTTTCTTTTTTTAAATTAAATTCAATTTTTGTTTTTTTTTTGGTGAGGTAATCAGAGTTAAATGACTTGCCCAGGGTCACATAGCTAGTAAGTGTCAAGTGTCTGAGGTCAGATTTGAACTCAGGTCCTCCTGACTCCAGGGCCAGTGCTCTATCCACTGCACCACCTAGCTGCCCCTTAAATTCAGTTATTTTCAATGAACAAAAATCTTTCTTCTTTCCCTCTCCCACCCCAATGGAAAACAAAAGAAATTCCTTTTATGACATTGGTCATGACATTTTATTTTCTAAAAGCCCTTTGGGCTTGAACATTCTGTGTTCTGTAGTCCCTTATAGCTCTAACGTTCTGTGTTCTGGAGTCCCTTATAACTTTAATGTTTGGGATTCCAGTTTGCCTTAGAACTCTTAAGACCCTTCTAACTTCAGTATTCTGTTTTGAAAGTGCCTTGTGGCTCTGATGCTTTATATAAGGTCCCGTCTAACTCTAGTATTCTTAGATCTCTTTTTGCTTTGAAATTCTGATCCTGTGTTTGGCTCTGACAGTAGGAGCTTATGAGAGGGCATATGTAGAGGGGGAATTTTTCCAAGGAAGCCAGAACTCATCTTGCCTGTGTTGCCTTGGTGACAGGGAGCGGAAGAATTGGGGAACAGAAAGAGACCAGCAGACCCCCCTCCCTTGGGCTTACCACCAGAAAGCCATTGGACGGGTATCAGTATTATCCTGACTGACGATTACCAAGGAAAAATTGTCTGCCTAATTGAATCCAAAGCAAGTCTTTCTTCCTTTGCCCTCTCTATTCCTTTCAGCCCAGATAGGTATTTGCTAGTCACTGAATAGAAACAAGACTTCTTGGTGCTACGAGCTTGGGGAAGGGTTATTTTCATTTTCAGATCCTTCCCCACCTTTTTTTTAATATCATCAAGAATTATAATAGGTTATCGTATATGATGACAGTTGCTGTGCAATTAGAATTGTAAAATTGGAAGCGCCCTCAGGAATTGTCTAGTCTGACCCTCAACCCATTACAGAAATGTATCACTGCTTACTAGCTGAGTGACCCTGAGCTAGTTACTTAATCTGAGTTTTCTCATTTGGAAATGAGAGTAAGACTCCTCCTACCTACCACTAGCTCCCTGAGTTATCTTGAGAAAAATGTATTATAAAGTATGATAGGAATGTGGGCTGTCATTATTATTAGGTTAGGGCTCGAATAGTATAGACTCTTAGAGTTGGATGGGACGTGAGAGATTGTCAGGATTGGGGTCTTCTTCACCTTGCCCCTTTGGCAATATCTGGGGGAGCCCATTGGTCCCATCTCTGTTGTTAAATGTATACAACAAAATACGTAGATTACAAAGGAAACCAATTGTATTAAAATACAGTTATCAAAATATTTTTTAAAAAACTAGCTCATGGTCCCCCCCCCCAGTTAAGAATTCACAATCTCGTCCACCTTCCCCTTGATCAGGAAACTCCTCTATAGAAGCCTTGGAAAAGTGGTCATTGAACCCTACTTGACGCGCTTTGGTGATGGGAGAGTCACTGCCTTTTGAGGTGATCCATTCTGCTTTGGAAAGCTGTCACTGTTGATTTCCTTTATATAGAGCAGAAACCTGCTTACTCCTAACCTCTTCTCCCTGGTCCCATTTCTAATAGGTAGCTTGCTAGCTCTACCTCATCCTACCCTTTGGGGCCAAGTAGAAAAAAGATCCAATCTTACTCCCACATGGCAGCCCTTCAAATATTTGAAGACAGTGAATGATCAAGGGTCATCTAAGCATCCTATTAACTGGGCTAGGTATCCTTGGCCTCTTTGTTCAGTGCTCCTTTGGCAGGGTTTAACAATTTTTAAATTGAGCTAGCTAGGTGGCTAAGTGAATAGAGTGCTGGGCAGGAAGACTCATCTTCATGAATAAAAATCTGGCCTCAAACACTCACTAGTTGCTTGACCTTGGCCAAGTCACTTCACCCTGTTTGCCTCAGTTTCCTTATCTGTAAAATGAGCTGGAGAAGGAAATGGCAAATTACTCCAGTATCTTTGTCAAGAAAACCCCAAATGGGGTCATGAAGAGTCAGTCACAACTGAAACGTCTGAATGACAATTTTAAAGAAATATAAATAAATAGAAAATATAATTAGCTTATTTGGGTATTATTAATAAGTTATTAAATTATGTATTATTATTACATGTAATAACTGTTGCTCTAATCTGACATTTGAATAACGTTTTAAAACGAAATCATATCCAAAACTATAAGCTGCCAATAGTCTCCAAATTGTTTTAAACAATAAAAGGTATCTATTAATTTTAACCAAACATAGTCATATTTATATCAGAGTTTGGAGTCACTTCTTTGTCCTTTATGCCCTTCTTTTGGATTTTCTAAAAGTAGTCAGTGGCCCTCTTAAAACATGACCTGCTGAACAAAATACAATCTAAAGTCATGACACCTTAGAGCTGAATGGGACCGCGAAGACCATGTGGTCCAAATCTCTCATTTTATAGATGAAGCAGACTATGTTGAGAGGGGGCAAATGATTTATCCAAAGTCACACAGTCCGTAAGTGGTAGAGCTACACCTTTTGATCTCTCCTCTTCTAAGGAGGGAACTCGAACAGCAGAGAACTCGTGCCCTTTCTCAATTTAGATACTATATTTCAATGAAGGAAGCCTTGAATTAACTTTAAAAAATTTTTAATTCAAGAAACATTTATTTAGTACCTACTGTATGCAAAGTCCCGTGCTAAGCATTGGGTATATAAGATTGAAAAACCATGGTCCTTTTCTCGTCATTGAGTTTAAAGTCTGGTAGAGGGAATACATTGTGTATACAAGTGAACTTGATAGAATAAGAGAACTTCTCCAGAAAAGTTTGAGGAGAGATCCCTTTTAGCTGGAGGGAATCAGGGAAGGCTTAATGGAGGAGGTGATTTAGCCTAAGCAAGAAGCTGAAGAAAGAAAAGGATTTCAGGAGGCAGCAATGAGGACGGATTATGTATTGGGTATAGAGGACAGCCAGTGCAAATGCTTGAAGGTAGGACATAGCAACTAAATTTATGGAATAACAAGTAGTCTAGTTTGCTTATAATGGAGAAGATATATATTAGGGACTGTTAAATGTGGTAAAATTGGAAAGGTAGGCTAGAGTCAGATTGTGGAGGGTTTTCAGTGTGTAGTTTGTGTATTGTCCTAAGGGCAATAGGAATCTGTGGAAGATTTTTGAGCTAGGGAGTGTCATGGCTGATTTAACCCACATGTTTGCCACACATTTAACTCCTTGAGCTTACTTATAATTTCTGGAACCCTTCTGGCCCTTTTTTTTTTTTTAAACATGAACAGGCAACTAGGTGGTATAGTAGATAGAGGGCTGAAACTGGAGTCCAGAAGACCTGAGTTCAGATCCTGCCTCAGAGACTAGTTGTGTGACTCTGGGTAAGTCACTTCTCTCATTCTCAATTTCCTCATCTGTAAAATGGAAATAATAGTAGCACTTGCCTCACAGGGCTGTTATGAGAGTATCAAATGAGATAATACAGGTAGAGGACTTTGTAAGCTTTGTAGCACTATATTAAATGTTAGCTATTACTATTATATATGTAAAACATCTTGCAAATCTTAAAGGGTTGTATAAATGTTAACTATTATTGATGTTTTTGTTGTTGTTAATAGCTTTTTAACCATAGCACTCCCATCTTGTTTTTGTGTAGTTGGTTAAAAAAAAAATTCCCTTTAATAAAAATATATTCATATACCCCAGGTAAAAGTAGTCTCCAAGATGATTAAAAACCCCAGACAAGGAAATTAAAAGCGATAGTCTAAGAAGTTCCCAGAGAGGTCAGGAGCTCACTGCTAGAGGCTTAGAGTTGATTTTATTCTCTCTTTTGTGCAGTTGATTTTATTTTTTTATTTTTTACTTTTAAAAAAATTGCATTTTTAATTTATGGAATAAAACAAGCATCTCCATAACATAGTACAATAAAAAAATGGTTGCATATGAAACTGCAGATCTACTATGCACAACTTACTGTTCTTTCAAATATACAACAAAATTAGCATGTAAATTTCTTTTTCTCTCCCCCCACTCCCTAGAGATGGCTACCATTAGATACAAATACGTGTACATGTGTAAAATTATTCTATACATAGTTCTGTTTATCAGTTCCTTCTCTAGATGCAAATAGTGTCTTTCTTCATATGTTCTTTATGACTGATTTTGGTATTTATAACTGACAAAATAACTTATTCGCTCAAAGTCGTTCTTAAAATACTATTGCTGTTACAGTATACAATGTTCTGTTGGTTCTGCTCATTTTGCTCTTCATTATTTCATGCAAGTCTTTCCCTGTTTTTCTAAAATTATTGAACTCATCATTTCTTATAGCAAAGTAGTATTCCATCACAATTATATACCACAACTTGTTCAGACATTCCCCAATTGATGGGTCTCCCTGCCATTTCCAGTTCTTTGCCACCATGAAGAGAGCTGTTATAAACATTTTAGACATTCTTTTCCCTCCTCCCTAATTGTCTTTGTAAGTAGACCAAGTAGTGGTATTGCTCTGCACATATTTAGGGTTAGGGTTAGTAGATCAAGTAGTGGTCAAAGGGTCTAGGTAGTTTAATAACTCTTTGGGCATAATTCCAGATTGCTCTCCAACATGGGTGGATCAGTTTACAATTCCACCAACAGTGAATTGGTGTCCCAGGTTTTCCACATCCCCTCCAACATTTATCACTTTCCCTTTCTATCATTTTAGCCAGTCTGGTTGGTATAAAATGATATCTCAAGGTTGTTTTAATTTTTGTGCAGTTGATTTTAAAGGGGTGTGTGTGTGTGTGTGTGTGTGTGTGTGTGTGTGTGTGTGTGTGTGTGTGTAGGGAGAGAGGGTGTCTGTTTATAAACATCAGGTCTAGGTAGTGCAGTGGATATAGTCTGGACCTGGAATCAGGAAGACTCATCTTCCTGAGTTCAAATCTGGCCTCAGACACTTTTTAACTGTGACCGTGGGCAAGTCATTTTCCCCTGTTTGCCTCAGTTTCCTCATATGTAAAATGAATTGGAGAAGGAAATGGCAAATTACTCCAGCATTTTTACCAAGAAAATCCCAAATGGGGTCACAGAGAGTCAGACAGGGCTCTACAATGACTACAACAACTAGTTTGACATCTGTTCCGGTTTTTAGGTCAGTGTATTGTAGATCTTGTCCAAAGGCACAGACGATTTTCACAAGCATGTGTATCAAGAGATTAAGGTTTATCTTTCCTTTCACATGCAACAATGTACCTTGTGTTTTGTGCCTGTATCTTCTGCTGCAGAATCATCTGGACTGGGCTGTTCTGCCCCCTCCCCCCAAGTAGTGGTTACCTCTCTCCTATCTTATGAGGGCAGGGGTTCTCAGAGCATAATCTGTGGACCCCCTGCAAGTCCTCAAGACCCTTTCTCCGAAAGGCTTCTAGGTCAAGATTATTATCACAGTAATACTAAGACATTATTTGCCTATTAAAATACTCCTTTTTCTGATTGCTTATCTGTGTGAGGCTAGATTTTCTTTGCGTATTTCAACCAAAGCAACATATCACAACAGATTGAATGCAGAAGCCGTTTGAGAATCCAGCTGTCTTCCATTAAAATAGATTTGCGAAAATATGTAAAACAGGACCAGTCTTCTCACCAAACTTTTTATTTTGTTTTGGGAAATCTACTTGTTTTTCATTAAAAGCTTAGTTATGTTAACATGTAATGGGTTTATTATAATTTTTGATGAATCAATATGTATTTAAAAAATTTTATCAGTTTTAATTTCTTATATAGTAAATATCAGTAGATTGTTGTTCAGTCATGTCCAACTCGTTGTGATCCTACTTGGGATTTTCTTGGCAAAGATACTGGAGTGATTTGATATTTCCTTTGCCAGTTTATTTTATAGATGAGGAAACTGAGGCAAACAGGATAAGTGACTTGTCCAGCATCACACAGCTAGTAAGTGTCAGGCTGGGCTTGAACTCAGATCTTCCTGACTCCAGACTTGGTGCTCTTTCAACCGCACCACCTAGCTGCCCAAATATCAGTAGCTATCACTCACACAGACAACAGCTCTTTGGGTTGTTAAGAGTGTAAAGGGGTCCTGAGACCAAAAGTTGGAGAACCACTGCTGTAACCACCATTTTTCCTTTGGGAGAGGAAAGACTTGTCTAAAGCCTTGGGATGAGCTCCGGATTTGGAGTTAGGACATGGGTTTATTTCTGCCTCTCTACCTTGCTGGCTGTGTGACTTTGGCGGAGGCATTTTCCCTATTTTAGTTTCCTTCCTTGTAAAATCTCAGGGGAATGTGATTCTTTCCTGCTCCCAATCCTATGGAGTTTTGCCATTCTTTTACCTGCAATGTAAGTGAAATGTTTGTCTCCCTTTGCCTTCTAGGGCTTGATGTATCAGGATGCCTCAAGATGGGGGATAACCTTGCAGACTTATGTGCAGCTTACCATGCTGGAGCAACACACCAAGCCTCTGGTGAGTTTCATGCACTTAATTTTCATTCTTTCTTTCTAGAACTCTTTAAGAATAAGCTTTTAGGAAACCTTTCTTTTTTATTTTTTTTAGTAGGAAGAAAGTCTTACCTGTAGTTAGTTACTATACAACATGGTATAGTAGAAAATCTGTCCATTAGACTGGAAGGAAGACCTTAGTTCTAGGATTGACCCTATTAGCTATATTAAGCCATCTGTTTTTCTTCTCTGGGCCTCAGCTTTCTCATCTGAAAAATGAGAAAATGAAGGAGGTGATTTCCTTTTACCTTTCTCTATAATTTTACATCCATTCTAGCTCTGCATTCTAAGGTACTGCCCAGCTCTGACGTTTTCTGTTCTAAGGACTTTCCCACAGCTCTGGCATTCTGTGTTCTAAGGTCCCTTCCAGATTTGACTTTTTCTGTCCTTTTACCCCTTCCAGCAACATTATATATGCTAACTAATGAATGTGAATGATTCTTCCCATGGTTACATAACTACACCTCTATAAAAATTAACACTTAGAGTAAGGTACAGGTTCATATGTGTCCTTGGAAAACAAATGCTTTAATTTTTTTTTTTTTGCAAGTCTGAATTTCACTTTTCCCAAGTTACATTTCTTAAAGTTAACAGGTCGGGGAAGAGTGGTATAGTCTGACCAGAGAGCTGGTCTCAGGGTTGAGAAGTCATGGGTTCATTTGCCACCATGACACACGCTGGCTATATGACCCTGGACAAATCATTTGACTTCTTAGTGCCCCAAGCAGCACTCAGACATAAGTTGCTGTGTAGTTGTGGGACTGCATTGGTGGAGTTTCTTTCCTGGGGGTTCCCATCACTCATGAAATCCCAGGTCCAATGAAAAAAAAATATTTGGTCAAGAATCAAAGTAGATGATTCCCTACCTTTGTCCCCCAATTGCTAGTGACATTTGGTTATAAATATGCACTGGAAGGTTATTATTAATAATAATATATAATGGAATATATTATTTTATATAATGTAATAAATAACAATATACAATAATATATAATAATCATAGCCTGGGTTTAATAGGAGTAATATATAATAATAGCCAACATTTATATAATGCAAAGTTTGCAAAGCATTTTATGTATGTTTTTTGGATCCTAACAACACCCTAGGAGGTAGGTGTTATTATTATCCCCTTTTTATAGATGATGAAACCAGGGCACAGAAAAATTAAGTGATTTGTCTGGGTTACACAGCTGGTAAGTTTCTGAGATAGGATTTGAACTCACATCTTCCTGACCTCAAGTCCTAAACTCTATAAACTAGCTGCAATAAACCTGTTTCTACATTTGAGGAAATCTTGATGGCCCTTCTGGTAGGGGACAGAGAGAGAGAGAGACAGAGACAGAGACAGAGACAGAGACAGAGACAGAAGGAGGGTCACAATTTAAAGTGTACAAGTTCTTTGTTCCTTCCTTCCCCCTATTCACAGTACTGCAGATATTAATCTAATGTATGAAATCTATTTTCAGGACTTTTAGGGAAAGGAAGAAATGGAAAAATGCCTCAGTATCTTTAGAAGTGAATTTTTACATGTTTTTTTTTATATATAGAAACACATTTTGCTTGTAATTTAGGAGTATGAAAAGACTGCATAACTCCTAAAATTCCAAAATTTCACTTTAAAAAAGTGCCTAATGGTGAGTTTAAACTAATTTGTTTCTGCATTACAGAGGTTAGGTATGTGCACACCATTTAAAATCTGTTTTATCTTTTAAATGAGGCTATAACTTTGTATTTATCCAATAAACTATAATGAAAGATGAAAAAAAAAACTATAGTCAAAGGATTTTAGAGGTCTTCTAGTACCTGTCCCCTTCGTTTTATAAGAGGAGGTGACCAAGGCCAGGAGGGATAAGAAAGACTCATCTATGGTCATGCAGGTAGCAAGGAACAAAGCCATGTCTTCTGATTTCAAATCTTCTCTGACTTCTTCCGCCACACCTGGCTGCTAGGTGGTGCCATAATGCATAGAGTGTTGGGTCTGGAGTCAGGAAGACTCATCTCCATGAGTTCAAATCTGACCTCAGATACTTACTAGCTTTGTGAAGCCAGTTAGGCCACTTAACCCCTTTTGCCTCGGTTTCTCATTTGTAAAGTGAGCTGGAGAAGGAAAGGGCAAACCACTCCAGTATCTTTGCTTCACTGACAGTGTTCTGGGCCCCATCTTTGGTCACACTGCTCTCTACTAGTAGTGATTTTCATCGAAGTCAACTCCTCCAACTATGAAAATGGAAATCCTTGGGAAACCCACCCTCATTAACTACCATCCTGGGGAAATATGGGGTTGATGAAGGGAAAGCCACCATCCAGAGCCAACAGGGTGGAGACAATGAGGGTCTTCTTCAGACTGGTGAAAAGATCAAAATTAATATTACTTTGAGTTTCTACTGTATTGATTGTACAATATAACTGATTTTATAATGTATTAATTTTATAATTGAGTCTGCATCTGCTTAAAGCCACCTTTCTATGTCCTTGAGTGGAGTTCAGGAATTCTACTTTCTCTCTGAGTTAGTTTAAAGTTACAAGTTAACTTGGTACCACCCCAAAAAAAGAGATGCTGTCTGTCCTTGCCTGTCCTTGTGCAGTTAGGGGAGTTTTTATCTCTTCCAAAGAGACACCACGTCTGGTAGTTTTGATTTCCTAGCACAGATTACAAGAGACAGATGGGTCCCATAAAACAATGAACATTTCTTAATTGTTGGAAAGGGGTGGTTACTAGCCCCACGTGGGTGCTCGCCAGCTTTTCTTTGATGTAACCAATCATGTTGTCACCACCCCAACGATGCTGTCTACCCTATAACCAATTGCATTGGCTTCCCCGCCTACCCAACTCCGTACTCCTCAAAATTATGTGAAGACTAGTTTGGTTATTGAGAGGTTATAGACACAATTTATTGGTTACTACTAACCTAACTAATAAATTGATCATGCTTGGACCATTGTCAAGTTTACCTTAACTTTCAGATGTAGAATAGAGAATGAAGAGAATTGGTTTCTATGTATTTCATAATATTTGTCCACATCAAGTGCAAAACTAGTGAACCGCTTTTCCTTTTTCCTCTAGATTTTACCAGTGCGGATGATGGAGAGGTCAATTCACAGTGCAAAATACATTTTTGTAGAAAATTTGCATAGAAGGTATGGTTCTTGGTTTACTGATTTTTAAAAATAACCATTGAACAGTTTTTGTTAAACTGTTTTTTCCCCATTCATTCAACATATTTATTGAGTACCTGTGGTATATGTGGTGCTGACTATGATTTTCATCCAAAACAACTCTCTGTCTTAGATATAGTAGAAAGAGAACTGGGTTTATTGTCAGAGGTCCTGAGTTCAAATCCTAGCTGTTCAATTACCTGTGAGAACTTGGTCAAGCCAAGCACTGTATTTAAAGTCAGAAGTACTATGTTCCAGCCCCTGTTCTGCTACTCACTCTGTCATCATGGGAAAATCACTCCCACTCTCCGACTTTCAGTTTCCTCATATGTAGAATTAAGGGTGATCTCTAAAGTACCTTCCAACCCAAAGTTAATTTGGTTTGGAAAGTCTGATGGAACCCCTTTAACTCTGGTATATATCCCCAAAACTGGGCAAGACATTACTTAATGTTAATGGCTTAGTGTTTTAGCCCCAATCACAGCATGGTATACTGCAGAGAACATTGGCTATGGAATCATAAGACCTATGTTCACATCCCCGATTTTCGCACTGATGAGACCTGGGTGATCTTGCTCAGTAACCATCCAGTCTCTGGACCTCTTTCCCCTTATAAAATGAGAGGTTGAGCTAGATCAGGGGTTCTTCACCTTTTTTGTGTCACGGACCGAAATGGCAGTGTGACAAAGGGACTCCTTTGTGGACTCCTCAGAATCATATTTTTAAATAAGTGAAGGACTTGCTGAATTTTAGTTAGAGGTTAGTGAAAAATAAATGTGATTTTTTTTTTAACCCATGCATTTTCATGGACTCCATGAAATCTATCCACAGATCAAATGGAGGGTCAATTTGTAATCCCCAGGTTAGGAGCCCCTGGACTAGATCACCTACAGGGACCCTTCCAACTCTGAAATACTAGGATCCCGTGAACCATGAAAATGCTTCCCTCTTCTGAACTTGTGGTTCCTCCTTTGTAAGATGAGAGGTTGAGCTTGCTAACTTTAGATGTCTCCTCTAATCATAGTCCCCCATGCCTGGAATACTCTCCCTTCTCACTTTTGCCTCCTGGCTTTCTTAAAGCCTTGGCTGAAATTCCACCTTCTACAAGAAGCCTTTCCCAGTGCCTCTTAATGCTAATCAGTCCCTTCTGAGATTACCCTCCATCTCCCCCATTTGAACGTGAGCTTCTCGAGGGCAGGTATCTTGTTTTTGCCTTTCTTTGTATCCCTAGGACTTAGAATAGTACCTGGCACATAGTAAGTGCTTAATAAATGCTTGTTGCCTGATTGACTACAATTCAATAACCCGTTATTATGGGCTATGTGATTCTCTGAAATTGCTAATCAATTCTTGTTGAAGAAAAGAGAGCAGTACTGAAAACAGGCTAGCGTTCAACATAGATCGTAGATTCTTCAATTTGTAAAGTCCCTCAGAAGTCATTGAGACCAACCGCCAGCCTGGAGCAAGAGCCCCTTGTGTGCATCTCTGATGAGCAGCTGCCCCCTTTCTCCCTGAAGTTCTTACTGAAGACTGGGATCTCACCTTCCTCTGGCAGTCCATTCTACTGTTGAACAGTTCCACTGGGTACGAGAAGACGCACACGGCAGAAAAGCTAGCATTAAGGACTTTAAAAGCAGTCACAAAGAGGAGGGGTTCGTTTTGGTCTGTTTGGCCTAGGAGGTCAGAACTAGGAGGAATGAGAGGAAGTTACAGTCCAAAAAATTTTGGCTTGATGTCAGGAAGAACTTCCTAACAATGAAGAACTATCCCAAAGTGAGAGCTTTGTAGAGAGATGGTGGGTTCCATCTTACTTTAAGCAAAGGGAAGATAACCGCTTGTCAGATACATTCTGGAGGATTGAGGGGGGGTGTCTAGTCTTTTCCAGGGGTAGGTTAGACCAGACTAACTTCCTTTCAACTCAGAATTTTGGATTCTCTGAGTCACAGACTGTCCCCCTATAGCTTTTAGCCACAGGACCACCCTTTGGGGCCAAGGAGAACCAGTCCTATTCTTCTTTCTTGTTAGCCCTTCAGACTTTTGAAGGCTGTCATCATTATCTTTATTAAATTACATCATGTTAGATTCAGTCCATCAGCCCAAGCCTACTCTGTCATCTAGCACGTCATGAAGCTATTCAGGATGCCCTGGTAGATTGAGTCTCAGACTTGGGGTCAAGAGAACTGAGTTCAAATCCCACTGCAGATGATTTTATTAAGTGTCTTTGTGAACGTGGGGAAATCCTATAGTATCTCAGAGACTTAGTTCCTTCATCCATAAAATGGGAATAATGCAACGTGAACAACCTTCTGCAGAGGATTTGTCATGAGGAAAGTGCTTTATGAATCTTAAAAGTGGTATTGAAATGTTAGTTGCTGTTTATTATCATTAGACACAATCTCGTTCACTTTGAGTGTCTACTTGTAGACTTTACGTCTAGAATCACAGAATCATAGAATGCTGGGGTTAGAGGAGACCTTTAACACATGGGCTATTGGAGTTGGAGGAGACCTTCCTTGTAAATCATCTAATCATCTTATTTCATAGAGGAGGAAGCTGAGACCCAGAAGTGACTTACCCGAGTTCACCAGCTTCTTAGTGTCAGAGTCAGGATGAGAACTCACATCTCCTGACTTTCAGTCTGCTTTTCTTCCCGGCAACTCACTGGCTTTTCATCCACATGTCTTCTGCTCCCTTTATTTGGAGAGTCCCACTCTTTTTCAGGACATGGAAAAGAGAAGAGATAAGATGTCAACTAATGCACTTTGCTGTTCACTCATAGCTCTGGTTTGAGTTTTGCTGTATTGGAAGGCTGAACCTATTGGCTGCAATAACATTTTTGGATTATCGGTTCGTTCCTTTGATTCAAGCTCTGCAAGTCTGCCATTCACAGATAACTAAAAATAATCTTGTAACCAAAGTTTAATCATCATTTTCTTGAAGCTTTGGTATTTTTGAGTGGCAGTCAGGGGCATATAAAAATGATACCTTATCCGATGGAATTTTTTGGATTGTATACTGAAGTTGAACAGCTAGGTGACAGTAATGGGCCTGGAGTCAGGAAGATTCATTTTCCTGAGTTCAAATCCGGCCTTGGACACTTATTAGCTGTGTGACCCTGGGCAAGTCATTTCATCCTGTTTACGTCAGTCTCTCCATCTGTAAAATGATCTGGAGAAGGAATTGGCAAGCCACTCCAGTGTCTGCCAAGAAAACTCTCAAAAGGGTCACTAAGAGTCGGACTGAAAACAACAACAAAAATACTGAGGTTACTTTTTTCCCTTCTGATTTTGGGGACCTTATATTTACTCCTCTGAGATCATGCCCCAGAATTTGATAGTAGTTAGGATTTCTAGTCTAAGACAACATGGACAATAAGCTACACATGTTATTTATAGTAATTGGTTTTTGTTTTTCTTTTTGGTGAGCCTGATTATTAGATGACAGCACAGTCTGGAAGAGGGAATTAAATTTATTGAAGGCTTTGGTACTGTACCAAGACTGGTTATGGATGCTCCATGGTGAAAAGAGTGTTAGATTTGGAGATTCAGAGGATCTGAGTTTTAGTATCAGCTCTGCAATTTAGGAGCCATGTGAATATGGGCACGTCAGTTCCTCCTCTCTGGACCGTAGTTTACTTCTTTGCAAAAGCAGGGATTGGATTAGATGATCTGTAAGGTTCTTTACCACTCTATTGTCTGTGTGACTTTGGGTAAGTAACTTAATCTACTTAGGTCTCAGTTTCCTCATCTGTAAAATGAAGGGACTGGATTAAGGTCCTTCAATCTCTAAATCTGTATTCCTATGACTAGGTCATCGGTAAGACCCCCTCTATATCATAGGATACTAAAGTCCGATTCAGGTGCCACCTCCTCCTTGAAGTCTTCTTGGATTCCTCCCTGCTCAGATTTTCCCAGAACCCTTTGTCTGGATTTCTCCTTTGTCCCTTTCATATTTTACCTTGTATAATTGTATACGTTCTAGATCCCCCCAGGGGATTATAAGCTCCTTGAGGGTAGGGACTGTTGTGCATCATTTTTGTATTTCCACGCTGTGCACAGAATAGACGCTTAGTGAATGTCTGTTGAATGATAGAGGCTGGTGGCTAATCATTATCTTATAGGCCAAAAACTTGTTGGAACCTGAATGCTCTTGAATCAGTTGTAACTTAAATGTAATCATAATAATATTGGAAATGTTGACTCGGATGTTCAGTTCTCTTGATAAATATACCTTTTTTTTTTTGATGCAGTTTTGGATGCAGAAAGACCAGGCCTAAGAAAATAGCTATTCTAGTTCGGAGGGGGATTTATATCTCATCAGATTTTTTTTTTCTTAGTGGGTGAGAGTGAAGTCTTAAGGGCAAACTAATGTGACATAAATTTAGTTTGACTTAAACCTTCTGGTCACTAGATACTTTTTTTGGTTAACATCTATTATAGGAAAACAGTGACTTGTTGGTAACCACAAGATGGCATACATGGTACACCAGTGATTTATGTGTTTTTCCTCCATTCCTGTCCTTGCTTTGGGGAAAAGCATTCTGAGATAAAATGATTAGGAAAACTCTTTTAAGATGCCAAGTGCTGACTTGCTGCTAATCACCATAGGGTTGACCTTTGATTTCTAGGAGCCAGGAGATCTGAATGTACCATTTCAAAGCTCTGCAACCTCGGGGAAGTCACTTCCCTCCTGGGCTTCATTTTCTTTTCTGTAAAATGAAGCAGGGGGGAGATAGGTTACATAACCTCCAAGGTTCTCTCTATGGTTCTGTGTTTCGGCGTCTTTTGTTGTAAAGGCTTGTCTAGCTGTGACATGCTGTATTTTACTGTGTGTCCTAACATTCTGTCCTCTATGATTCCTTCCTGTTCCCACGTTTGTTTTCTAAGGTCCCTTTCGGTTTTGACATTCTGTGATTTTATATTCTGATATTTTGTGTTCTAAGGCCTTTTTCTGACTCTGACATTCCATGTTCAAAAGTCCCTTTTAGTTTTGTGATTTAGTTTTGTGATTCTATTTTCTAATATTCTGTCAGTCATCAAGCAGTTATTAAGCATTGACTATGTGCCAGGCACTGTGCTAAGCACTGGGGATACAAAGAAAGGCAAAAATTGTCCCTGCTTTTAGGGACCTGCTCACGTCTAAATGGGGAGATAACATAAATACCTGGGTACATTCAAGAAATGTACAGAGTAGATAGAGGGGTAATCTCGGTGGGGGAGGCACTTGAGGCCACAGGTGACCCTCTAGGCCCTCAATTGTGGTCCTTTGAAGTTTGAATTCAACTTGAAGTTTGGATTCAGTCAAAGAGCCACCCTTGAGGACCTGGAGGGCCACCCGTGGCCTCGAGGCCCATGGGTTCCCCAGCCCTGCACTAGTAGCTGCAGGGCCTGGGTGGAAGTGAGGTGGTATAGCATTCCAGGCAAAGGGACCAGCCAGTGTAAAGGCATAAAGATGGGGGATGGAGTGTTGTATATAAGGAACAGCAATTAGTCCAGTGTTGCTGGATGGTAGAGTTCATAGTGGGGAAAAAAGTATAAGACTATGAAAGTAGAAAGGGGTCAGGTTGTGAAGAACCTTAAATAAAAAAGAGCCTTAAAGACAGAGGACTTTTTTTTTTATTTTATAATTGATCTAAGGGATAATAGTGAGCCACTCAAGCTCCTTGAGCAAAGGAATGACCATAGTTAGACCAAAGCTTTGGGAAGAATCACTTTGCCAACTATGAAGAGAATAGAGTTGAATGGGAAGAGCGTTGAGGCAAAGAGACCAGTTCTGAGGCTGTTGTAATAATCAAGAGAGAAGTGATGAGGATATGGACCAGCGTCCAGCTGTGTGAGTGGAGAGGAGGGGATATATACGAAAGATGTTGGGATAGAAATGACAAAACCTGCCAACAGATCAATTACGTGGGGAGGATGGGAGGGAGGTACTAAGGATGACACCAGGGCTGCAAGCCTGGGTGATACCAGGTACACCAGGATAGTGGAATCATGACAGTAAGAGGGAAGTTAGGAAGAGGGGAGGGTTTGGAAGGAAAGATGTTTTGGTCATGTTGAGTTTGTGATGCTTACAGGGCATCTATTTGGAGATGTCCAAAAGGTAGTTAGTTGCTGGTACAAGCCTATGGTTTAGGAAAGAGACCAAGTCTGGATATATAGATCTGGGAATCCGCATAGATTTGATAATTGAACTTGTGAAAGCTGATGAAATCACCAAGTGAGATAGTATAGAGAAGAGGGCCTTGGGGGACATTCACTGATAGTGGGCATGACGTCTTATGAAGACACTGCAAAAGCAGTGATCAGCAGCATCAAAGGCTGCTGAGAAGACAGAAAGACAAGGATTGAGCAAAGACTGTTAGATTTGGCAATTAAGAGATCATTTGGTCACTTGGGAGAGGCCATTTTCAATTGAAAAATGAGAAGAGAATTGGGAAGTGAGTAAGAAGAGAAGAAGGCAGAGAGTATAGATAATTTTGGGGGGCGAGTTTGATTGAGAAAGGGAGGGGAGATGTAGAACCATAGCCTCACAGCAACCCTCTGAGCTAGGGACTGCAAGAAGTATTATCTCCATTTTACCAAGGAAGAAGCAGGCTCAGAGAGAAGGACCTTTCTCAAGGTCACACAGCATTTTAGTATAACAGGGTCAGGAGTAAAGCCCTGAGCTTCTGATGCTGAAAGCACGCCATACTGTCTTCTCCTATAACTTTTTGTCCATGTATTTCTTTTGCCCTGTTTACATGGGTGTCCCTTCTGAAGTTTCCATGTTGATGGAATGTGATAATCTATTGGTGTCATTGTTTCTCTGCCCCTGTGTACTTCTGTCTCCCTGTCTCTCTGTGTTTTTCTGTCTCCTTGTTCCTTCTCATGTTTATGTATCTCCTCTCCTTGTGTGCTTCCCAGTGAAGAGCTGGTCCAGCTTGCAACATATTTTATCTTGGTCTGTTACTAAGTACAGGATGGTCACAGAAAAGTCACCAGCTCTGGGAGTGAGGGAACACCCTGCCTTAGTCAGCAAATTGTCAATAAGGCTGCAGTTTATGCTTCGTGGAAATCATCATGGGTGTCACTGTCAACATTCTCCCAAACTGCATATTAGCTCCTCACAGAGGGGCCTTTCTTTGCCATTGAGCAATACCTATTTGACTGTTTTAATCTGGGCATTATTGGGGTATAGCCCATTCAATAGCAGCAACTAGGTGGTGCAGTGGATAGAGGGCCAGGCCTGGAGCCAGGAAGACACATCTTCTGAGTTCAGATCTGACCTCAGATATTAGCTGTGCGACCGTGGGCAAATTACTTCACCCTGTTTGCCTCAGCTTCATCATTTGTCAAATGAGCTAGAGAGGAAAATGGCAAACCACTCCAATATCTTTACCAAGAAAACCCCAAATGAGGTCACCAAGAGTTGGACACGACTAAACAGCAACAAATTGTGGGCAGCTAGGTGGCACGGTGGATAGAGTGCTGGCCCTGGAGTCAGAAAGACTCATCTTTGTGAGTTCAAATCTTGTCTCAGATAAGTATTTGCTCCGTGACCCTGGGCAGATCACTTAACCTTGTTTGCCTCAGTTTCCTCATCTGTCAAATGAGCTAGAGAAGAAAATGGCAAATGACTCCAATATCTTTGCCAAAAAAACTCCAAATGGAATCATGAGGAGTCAGACACAACTGAAACAACTCAACAACAACAACAACCCATGAAATAAAGAAGTTCCCCCAGTTTGAGGATGAGAGTCAATGAACAGACATTACTTGCTATGTGCCAGGCATAATACTAGGATACAGAGGCAAAAATGAAACAATTTCTGCCCTCTTGGAGTTTACGTTCTAAGAGGGGAGACATGTATATGTTCTGTAACATGCACAAGACACACACACACACACACACACACACTAAATACAATCAACCACGTAACATTTATTAAACACCTGTGATATGGCAAACACCTAATAAGGTTCTGGGAATATGAGGACAATAAATGAAATAGTCCCTGCCTTCCTGAAGCTTTCATTCTAACTAGAGAGACATGTACATAGATAAGTATATATGGAACACATGCAGAGTAATGTTGAGGGGAGGCGGCAGCTGAGAGGGGCCTTGGGGAGGTCCTCATACAGGCAGTGATGTTTGAGTTGAGTTTTGGAGGGGTGAAGGGATCACTAGAGGAAGAGGTAGGCAAGAGTCTGAGGGCACGAGGGTCAGCTAATGCAAAGGCGAAGAGCTGGGCAGTGGACTGGCATGACACAATTGTTTTTGATACTTGGAGTGTTGTGGGGTTGGGCGTGGAGGAGGAGTGATGTTTGCTTCTCTCATTTCAGTGGCAAGATGCCTGACGTGGATTATGTGGTCTTATCTGAATGGTTTGACTGGATTGTGAAGAACATGGATGTTTCAGTTGATTTAATAGGTAAGAGGTGTGTCTATGTGACCTGTGGCTAGCCTAAGTTAGATCTTTATTGCTTTGAAATGCCTTTTCCCACTCTGTAGCTCTTGGAGGGAGGTGGTGGCTGGAAGTCAGTCAGCTAGCATTTCTTAATCACCTCCTGGGTGCCAGGCACTGTACTAAGTGTTGGGGATTAAAGAAAGGCAGAAGACATCCCCTGCCCTTGAGGAGTTTGTAATCTAGTGGATGAGCTTAGAGTTAGTAGAGTAGAAAGAACACTGAATTTGGAGACAGAAGATGCGAGTTATAATCCTGGCTTTGCTACTTTCTCCCTGTGTGTCCTGGGACCAGTCAAACCCACTCTTTGGGCCTCACTTTCCAACAAGTGAGGCCCTTGGACCAAGTATTCTCATTCAGGCTGTAGATCTCAGGAACCTATAGCCTTGTGGAGAAGGGGAGTTGAGAAAACTCTTTCATGTTGGATAGCCTCTGTCTTTCTAGATGAAAATCTGCCGAGAGGGAGGAGAATAAAAGTGAAGTTGGGGGCTTGAGGAAAATGGGAAAGATTTCTAAAAATTGGGGTGTGTCATAGAAAGTTCATAGGAGAAGAATAAAAGTATAGCCATGGAGCAGTGAGGGTCCTACCTGGGGTTAGAGAGCATGGATTTCTCCAGCAATACTTGACATCTCAGGAGTTAGTGTGGTGAAGGTGCATTGAGTTGGGGGGGCAGGTGGTTAGCAGGTTGGAAACAGTGGAACATTAAGGGAGGGAAGGATTCAAGGATAGAGGCAAGAATACCATTGAAATGTGGACCATTGGGTCAAGAAGGAGCATGGTGTAGGGGAGCAGGCTTTTGGATTAGGAGTTGAGAGAGTAGGGTTTCAGTCTGAATCCTTTCGCTTACTAGCTGTATAACCTAGGCCAAGTCACTTCATCTGTGAGGGCCTCAGTTTCCTTTTTTGTAACTTTAGGGAGTTGGGACCAAATACACTTCCTCTTCTAGATCTAGCATTCTCTAATTATTAGTCTGGGTAGAGAGGCAAGAGAAACCAGAAGGTGAAAGCTAAACCAGTAAAGGGAAGAGTGGGAGGCTGAGGTGATATGGGACATCATGAGGACAAAGAGTGGGGTCAGTGTGAATATTTATACATACACATACATACACACACTTGGAAGGGCAACCCTCAAAAGACTAATTTGCAGAGTTGCAGAACAGGTGCCCGTCTCCCATTGGTACAGGGCGTTTCCTCATTGGGAGTATTCTTTGCCAGTGAAATCATGGATTCCCTGGTGATGCAATTTCCTTGTTCAAACCCACATTGTGAACTAATGACCATATTTTGTATGATTATAACTTCAAATAGTGTGAATTTGAATACATGCAACCACTTCAGAGGATTCATTATTCACACTGATTAAGACCTAGCTGTATAAGCATACATTTACATCTATCCACCCTTAACTAGCTATGGGTCCCTGGGCAAGTAAGTTGAAGTGCTGTCTGCCTCAGTTTCCTTATCTGTAAAATGGGAATAAGAATAGCACCTCTACACCTAGAGCTGTTGAGAGGACCGAATGAGATCATTTGCAAAGCAGTCAGCAAACCTTCAAGCTACTTCTTAGTCTGTGGAAGAAGCCAGCCCCTATCATATGATAGCTGTTAGTGATGATGACGCTGACTCCCATTCCTTCAGCCCTTTGTCATTCACTCGTCAGCTTTTCCATAGAGAAGTCAAAGGCAGTTTTTCAATAACCATGTTGTAAACTCTTCCCAGTGATTGCACATTCAGATATTGTTTCCTAATGGCAGTTTATCTCCGGACCTCTCCTGAGACTTGTTACGAGAGATTGAAGAAGAGATGTAGAGAAGAAGAAAAAGTCATTCCGTTGGTAAGGAAACTTGTTGTACTCAGAGTCCAGCCCCCAAATCCTCTGGCCCTGCCTTCTTTCCTCCAGCCTTCTTATTTGTGCCTTTGCTGCTCCTTCTTCCTCTCCCCCTCTTCTCCAATAATTCAAGGACCTGAGAGTTGGTTGGATAGGTCACGCCATCCACTGATGGAGATTACTACCCCTGCTTGCCTTCATAGACAGTCTTCAGGAGCTGCTATGGCTAGAAGAAAATGAATGAGTGTCCAGCCTTCTGGTAATGAGCCTCTCCAGACTTATCAAGGCTGGTCCTCTAACTGCAGCTATTCAGTCAGTTAGCAGACCTGTGAAAGCCTTTCTTTTTCTTGGCATTCAAGGCCTTCCACAGTCTGGTGTACCACTTTGCCTTTCTAGTCTTATCTCTCATACAAAATTTCTGTGTCTTAGTACTTCTCCCTCCCCCAATATGCTTAGTAGGTGCTTGAGAAAAATGTATGTTGTTGTTGTTGGCCCTTCCAGAACTTCCTCTTTCCTCACAAAGCCTTTGGGAACCCCTGCCATGATGGAGCATTGGAAGAGGGCTCTAGTTTTCCTCTCTATTCTTATTTCCTTATTATAGTCTGTATTGCTCTATAATGACTGCAAAGTTAGTGTATTACATATTTGTGCAATCCTTCTTCCTCGAAGCCTCTGCCTAGATTCTAAGCTCCCTGAGGGCAGGAACCATGTCTGACAAAGCACCATTTCTTCCCCAGTGCCTAGGTTAGTGCTCTGCACACAGTAGGTGCTTAATAACTATCAAATTAATTTATTTTCTCCCTACTACCTCTACTAATAATGAAGGAGAATTTCATATATATAAGAACATTGGTTTTTCTAAACCAGTGTCACTGCTTCTAGCCAACCCCGAATTTCCCCTGGGCCTGCAGAACTCCTCAGTGGGGAACGCTCACTCTTTGAAGGGGATGCCCGACACAACAGCAAATGTTTTTTAGACCTCTGCTGTATGTAGAGATCCATGCTATATGCTGGGGAGATTTAAAGTGTTTCTAAGATGGAATCTCTGCCGTTCTGGAGCTCATGGTATACAAGGAGAATAAGACACCAGCATGCATACACTGTACAGGAATACAGTAAGTGTAATTACCATGAATTATATCACAGTGATAGTCGTATTATAAATTATAAAAGCAGAGTCTGACTCTCCTATAGGCTTGTAGCATGTATCTTCTTAGCCATTCATGTTTCTGAAAACCGAACATCTGTTGGTTCCCTTTGGAGGATCAGTTAACATTACTGAAAATCAGCTTGAGAAAGAAGCCAGTCACTCTTGAATGAATGAGTAGGTAGCTCAGTGGATAGAACACTGCACTTGGAGCCTGGAAGATATGAGTTCAAATCCTGCCTCAGGTGTGACCTTGGCTAAGTCACTTCACCTCTGTCTGCCTAGGGATAATAATAGCACCTACATCACAGGGTTGTTGTGAGAATCAGATGAGCTAGCATGTAAAACACTTTGTAACCCTTAAAGCACTCTATAAAAGCTAGCTATTACCATTATGAATGAATGAAAAGGCATTTATCATGATGTAATCTGGTGATTAAAAATCAAGGCTTTACAAAGCACTTTCATCCCTACAACAATGAGGGTGCAGAGTAGTGTTATCTCTGTTTTCTGGATGAGCAAACAGATGTTCAGAAAAGAAAGGGGTTGCTAGGGAGGAGATTTCATGCATCAGGCAGATAATTAGACTAGATTCCAAGTTCCACCCAACTCTGAGATGTGATGATTCTAGTATCTTCTCTGCTGATGTAAAATTTTAAACTAATATCCTAGTAAAGAGACTTCGGTAGTATGGCCCCCAAATTATTTGCTGTGACCCAGTTGGATTCATTCCAGGGATAAAAGGATGATTCTACATTAGGAAAATAATTAGTTGTATAAACAACAGAAACAATGATTGTTTAGTCACTTCTAGTGGTAACATTCCAAGCTCCTTGTTATGAAATTGCCGCAGCTGCCAAGTAGACAGAGACCTAATGGAGTTTGGGAGCGCTGCCTTCTCTCCCTCTTGTGAGAGTCACTGTGAAGGTGACTTTTGTTGGCAGAAAGGCCTGCAGGGTTGGGGTGAGCTGGCCACAGAGCAGCAATGGTCTCCTGGGAAAGGGGAAAGGCCAGGCAGGAGACCAGCTGCTGCTGGTGGCGTAAGAGTCAAAGCAGCAAGACAGATGGGAGTCTCATGTCATTTTGGCTGGAAATTGAATTGCAGCATCTAGGGAAGCAGATGTTTTATGAGATGAGAGCAAGATGAACTGGGTGTATCAAATGGTGTATCAGATATAATATGGTGCATAATAAATGTGGCTCACATTTATATAGTGCTTTATGTTTGCAGAGAAATTTGCACACGCGATCCCATCTGATCCCTTCACACGTTCTGGTTTCAGCCAGACTTCATCTCCCACCTCCATGTTTTTGCACAGGCTGGCTCCAAGCACAGAATATGTTCTCCCTCCTTGCCTTTGCCTCTTAGAATCCTTCACTTCTTTCCAGGCATGGCTCATGGACCAGTTTCTGTGGGAAGTCTCTCCCGACCCATTGAGTTGCCAGTGATCCTTCTGTGTCCTCAAATGATCAGTTGCATGCTTCTCTGTCTATATGTTGTGTGTGTCCAAAAGGATGCGAATTCTTTGAGAATCTTCTAGAATCTATTTCCCTTCTCGTCTCTGTATCCCAAGCACCACGTATAATCCCTTGAAAACAGCAGGTGCTTTAATAAATACTTATTGGATTAGATTGACTTGATCTTCACAAGATGGCTGGTGAAAGGAGGTAGGGCTTTCAGGAAGCAGCATCGCCCATCTCCTATGGAGAGAGCATTTGGTTTAGAGTTGGGAGACCAGGACTCTCTATGTGACTTTGTCTCTTATATCTTTGGGTCTCAGTGTTCTCATCTGTAAAATGAGTGAGTTGGGTTAGATGTCCTCTGAGGTCCTTCTCAGCTACAAAATCTCTGATCCCAAGGGTTATCAGAAGAATAACCTGAGGCGTGGAAAGAGGAAGCCCAGGATTTCAGAGAAGTGAAATCCAAGGTCACACAGCTACTAAGTAAATAGTGGGATTGCTACTCACATCTCATCTTTCTGACTCCCAGGTTCAGTGTTCTTTTTATCATTCATTCAACAAACTTTTTAAAGGCACCTGCTGTGTTTAGAGAGCTATGTTATGTCCAGGAGAGAGCTGCAAAGTTGAGCTCTGACACAGCTCCTTCCCTCTTCATATTATAGATTTAGAGATTGAAGGGGCTTTAGGAATCATCCAGTCTAATCCCTCACATTTTACAGGTGAGGAAATTGAGATCCAGAGGGTTTAAGTGATTTTTCGAGGGTCTCACAGATCTGAGATTCAAACATGGATCTTCTGACTCCAAATCCAGCTGTTCTACCAAGTCCTGTCCTGTCCTGTGGAGATCCACTGCATAAAACTAGTACCTAATACACGTGACAAATGCATCAGAAAGATGCCCAACAGAGTTCGAGGTGAGGCCTGAGGGGAAGGGTGTTGCTGATGGGGCTGAAGATCAGGGAAGACTTCAGGTGCCCATGATCCAGCAACCTCCGTACGTTGTTCTGTTGGCCAAACCCCCTCTCCACCGAGTCTGTTATCAAAGGTTGGATGACATCCGCCATTTTCCATTGCATGGTTTGTCTAAGTCCCAGCCCTGGTAGCTATATTTGGCTGTCACTTTTGGTGGCCAAAATTGGATTGCTGAAGGAGATTTTGCTCATGTCAAGACTTACCATAACTTTGTGTGTTTGAACAACTTTGCAGGAGTATTTGGAAGCCATCCACCAGCTGTATGAGGAGTGGCTCATTAAGCAAACCCTCTTCAAAGTTCCCTCTCCTGTTCTGGTAAGTATGTTTACCCCAGCTCTCATAAGAACAGCAGGCTGTCTTGGGGCTTTCCAGAAGGACACTCACCATACTGGGGATTGGAATGAGGTGCTATTCATCTGCCAGGGGGTGGGAAGTTGCAGGATCTCGAGAGTTAGTTTACAAGGGGAGCTAGCACCATCTGGTTGTAAACACGACTCCTCTTCAACTTTCTGTCTGGGGTAACATGGTTAGATTCTTCTGGGAGGGTAATAGTAGCAAGAGCTCACATTTCTATCGTACTTGAGGTACCTACCACGTGCTTGCCTCCTGAGGTGGATGGTGCAGGTGTGATTATCCACATTTTACAGATGAGAAGGAGATGATGATATGAGTGACAGCTGGCATTTCTGTAGTGCTTTTTGGAGTTACAAAACACTTCAGAGCCCTGGATTTGGAATCAGAGGACCAGCGTTTAAACCTCCGCACTAACACTGTGTGTCCTTGGGCAAATTATTTAACCTCTCTGGGACTCAATTTCCTTATCTGTAAAAATTAGGATATTGTATTTCATAACTTCTAAGATCCCTTTCAGCATTACATCTATGTTACTAAATGTGTCTGATTCTCACAACAGTCCTGTTAGGGACACAGGACAAATATATCTGTTTGATGCGAGAAGAAATGGAAATGTATGTGTGTGTGTGTGTGTGTGTGTGTGTATATGTGTATACATACACATATATATGTGTACATACATAGAGAGAGGGAGGGAGGAAGAAGGGGGAGAGAGAGAGAGAGAGAAGAAAGAAAAAAAGAAAGAAAGGGGGAGAGGGAGTGGGGAGGGAAGAGAGGGGAAAAGAGAGATGAGGAGACAGAAAGGCATAGGCCCAGAGAGAGGTATAGGTATAGGCATCTAAGCTAAGTGGCTTTGTGGATATAGCACCAAACTGGGAATCAAGAAGACCTAAGTTCGGATCTTGCCTCAGACACTTACTATCTATGTGACCCTGGGCAAGTCACTTAACCTGTGTCTGCCTCTATTTCCTCTTCTGTAGAATGAGAATAATAATAGCACTTGTCTGCCAGGGTTGTTGTAAAAATAAAATAAGATAAGGTTTATAGAGTGCTTTGCAAACCTTAAGGTTCTATGTAAAGTGCTTACTACTACTACCACCACTACTACTACCTAGTACTACTCCTACCTAGTACTACTAGTACTAATCACTACTACTACTACAACAACAATCTACTACTACTACCACCACCATTACTAGTAGTACTACTATTACTACTACCATTACTACTGCCTACAACTACTAGCACTACCCACCACTACCACTACTACCACCACCACCACCACCATCACCACTACTACTACTACTACTACTTAGTACTACTAGTACTACTTTTTGTGTGTTGGCAGGAGAGAGAGCTAAAATGATTATGCTCTTGAACCCATGGAAGAAAAATAATGATGGTATGCTTATCCAGTATTTTCAGGAAATGATGTGTTCATAGACTCATGACTTAGATTTGTGAAGGACCGGAAAAGTCTAATCCAGTCCCTCTCTTTTTCAAATTAATGAAACTAAGGCCTGTTTACTCCACATAGGAAGTAAATGTCAGAGCTGGGATTTGAACCCAGGTTCTCTAACTTCAAATCTTTCACACTTTGTACTGTTAGCTCTCACACTACCTTTTCCCCACCATGCCAAAGTGAATTGTCCAGATAGCAGAAACACTTTTTATTTTAACCCCTTTGAATGGCAGGCTTTCTGGAATCCCCAGAGGGCACAGAACAGAATTCACACATTTTTTTTGAAGATTCATGTCATCATAATGAGTGTTAGTTGCTGTTCTGTGCTGTGTCCAGTGATGGCCATAGGAGCTGTGAAGATATATCTGTCCCTCTTCACGGAATGGCCCCACGCATCTCAGCTTTTAATATGCTGAGAATAACACTAACGGCAGCTATCCCCTGTCATTTTGGGCCACCATCCGTGTATTTCTCCAGTTGTCTTCCTCACAAGTGTGTGTCTGCCACCCTCTGTGAGTGAAGATGCTAGTTTTATCCTAATTTGTTAGAGTCCTATCTAAAATAAGTCAGTAGCCTGAGTAAGGGCCCCTCTGTTAGTTTAGTGTATGAACTTAATTTACGTTCTTGGAGGCAGCTGATTAAGTTCCTCCGGAGGCCTTATCTTCTACTGGCTATATATTCCATGGGCAGTGGGTGGTGCACTGGATAGAGCGCTGGACCTGAAGTCAGGAAGACTTATCTTCATGGGTTCAAATCTGGCCTGAGACACTTCCTAGCTTTGTGACCCTAGACAAGTCACTTCACCCTGTTTGCCTCAGTTTCCTCATCTGTAAAATGAGCTGGAGAAGGAGATGTCAAACCACTCCAGTATCTTTGCCAAGAAAACCCCAAATGGGGTCACAGAGAGTTGGACACAACTAAAATGACAAAACAACAACATGTTCTATATGGATGAGGTTGCTAAATTAAATGGTTTCCAGATAAGTGAGTTGTTACAATATTTGACTCTAAAGCAGGAATTCTTAACCTGGGGCCCATGAACTTTTTAAAAAAAATATATATTTTGATAACTATTGCAATATAATTGGTTTCCTTTGTAATCCTACGTATTTTATTTTATACATTTAAAAATATGATTCTGGGAATGGGTTCATAGGCTTCATTGCACTGTCACAGGGGCAGACACAGTGATACAGAAAAAACTAAGAACTGCTAATCTGGAATTAGGGAGCTTGGCCTAAGGGTGGTTATTGACCCAAGGTTGGGAAATATTCTCTTAGTCGTTCAGTCAGTAAACATTTATGAAGCACCTACTGTGTGTCAGGCATTGTGCTAAGTGCAGGGGATGAAATAAAGGCAAAAGACTTTGTCCCTGTCCTTGAGGAGCTCACAGTCTAATGTTATAACATTATCTGTTAAACATAAGGATTGAATGAAATGGTCTCAAAGGTTCTTTCCAGCCCTGTCCTCTGCGATCAATAAAACTTGCTCCAGTGTGCTGTGATGGATTTGGCCACTTCCTTTCCTTCAGGCTCATTAGTAAAGCAACTATTAACCTCTTCCTCTCTCACAGAGAGATCCATCTGGCTAATTATAGAAATGAATTTCATCAACTACTTTTTTTTTTTTTTTTACTTCTTTTCTAGGTGATTGAGGCAGACCAGGACACACAGACAATGACGGAACTCTATGAGAAAAACCGGGACCAAATATTAACTGCAGGGAATATGAAGCATCACTTATAAAACCAGGAAATTAAATCTATGTGATCATAGTAGGAGCCTATCAGGATCTGTCAGTTTAGCCATGAGGAATAACTTTTTAAGGTCCACTCAAGTGAATTTTCTATCACATCTGATTAAAAATAAATGTGTGTATGCATATACACACATGCAACACACAATAACATACATGAGATGTGAAGGGTATACCTATATGTACGTGCATATGTATATATGTCTACTTCAATATACTAAGTATTGAAGTGTACATATATACACGTTTGTGTATACATATATGTCTTTGGTAAATTGTCATGGTGTTCATTTATTACCTGAGTGTCTGCCATGAGGCCTATTGGTGATGTGGCCCATCTGATCTTGGGATGCGGCCTGCCTGAGATTTTTAGCCAAAAAAAACCAAAAGTCACTAGCATCTAACTATGTAGCAGGCCATTTAACTGACTGCTATTGGGAGCTGTGCTAGCAGATTTGGACCAATTAATCCTAATTGAAGTTGAATGTCATTCATCATGTAATTAAATTCATGCAGCCCCCACAGGCGTATATGGTCCCTGCCACCACTGAAGACCTGGAATGCTTTTTTTCTACTACGTAGCTCAATTGTAGGAGGTATAATAGTGGACTTTCCACCTTTGGTGCTTTTACTCCCCCAAATTCCAGGGAATTCTCGTTTTGCATTTTGATGACCTAGGAATAGCTTCAATGATAGAATCAGATCTTCCTGACAACTCGATGGTCCAGCCTTTTGTTGTGAGCATGGGAACAGGAGCCTGTATTTATAGAGAGAAAGCCAGGGGGTGAATGGAGCCAAGTGTCATTATTGTCTGGTAATTTGTTTGCCAAGTCATTGAGGGGAATAAACAATTGCTGGATTTTTCTTTTTTTTTTTTCCCCCCACAAGCCAATGCTGTGTTTGGTCTCGTGAAATACTAATGCTTTTACATGCTGTTTTTAACTGTATCATGAGTCTGAGTCTGAGATGCAGCTTACGTCTACTATGAAATCATGTGACTTTTATGAGCGTGAAGGCCTTCTTTTCTAGGTGGCACCCTTTCTTACTGGTAGTGTATGAGGAGAGAAGAGATGATGATCTGGGATACCCTAAAGAAGGGATCTCAAATCTACAGGCTTGCCTTTTTGGACTGCTTGTACCCCACTGTGCTTGGAAGCGTGCCACGAAACGCTTTGGCCCTTGGCTCAGACAAGCGAAAAAGACTACTTAGCATGATGGCAAATAGAAATGTGTACATCAAATAGACTTGACATTTGAGTCTAAAGTCATTGTCTTGGACATGTTGATTTCTGAGAGCCTTTCTAGTGCTAAGGATCTATAATGGCATTGCAAATTTTCTATGGTGTTCAAATGTATTATTTTTCATTTTGGGGGAAATCACTCTTGTCATTTGGGTAGTTTATTAAATGTTGAAGAAAGAGTGGGATAGCTTGGGGCTCATTTCATTCTCATTGACTATTTTGTGCCCTTTGAGGTTTTACTGGGAACCTAATCTTGAGGACAATACCACGAGGCCCCGTGGTCTCCAAGGAACATCTACTCCATGGCTTCTGTTTTTAAAAAAATGTGTTTTTATTAATGTGTTTTTTATGTCACTGTAATTTCTAGAAACCCTCCCCTAGTTCCTCCCGACCCAGAGGCTTTGCATGTAATAGCATTTTTCAAAGAAAAAAACAGGAAAAATTTCAGCATAACTGATCAGCACAATGAAAAAAATCTGAAAATATGTACCATGTACAATCGTGGTAGACTTCCCACCTTTGCAAATAGGTGAGTTGAAGGTGTCTTCTCTATCTTTTCGAGTTGTGCTTATTCTTTGTAATTTTGCAGCATTCATTTTTGTGGTGATTCTTTCTGTTCATATGTAACCATTTTTGCATGTTGTTTGCTTTGTTTCTGCTTATTCCCCGCTGCATCTGTTAGTTCATGTAGGTCTTTGCATGCCTCTCTGTATTGATCACTTTCATCATTTCTCGTAGAACAGTCATATTCCATAACATTCATGCGCCACAGTTTCTTTAGTTATTCCGCAGTCAATGAGCATCTTCTTTATTTCCAGTTCTTACAAAAAAGTACTGCTGTAAGTGTGTTGATGTGTATGGGGACTCTCTTCTTAGCCGTGTCCTCCTTGGAGAATAAACCTAGTAGAGGAATCTCTAGGTCAAAGGGTACGGACAGCTTGGTCACTTTATTTGCATAGTTCCAAATTCTCCTCTAAAATGATTATACTGATTTACAGATCCACCAATAATATATTAGTGTGCCTATCTTCCCCTTTTGTCATCATTGCTAATTTAATTTGCAAGGTGTGAAGTCAAACCTCAGGCTTGTTTCAGTTTGCATTTCTCCACTGCTTTTAAGCTGATTCAGATTTTTTTTTTTGTTTTTGTTCAGATTGAGGGGTGTGACTTTGGAAAGAGCATTGGGATAGGAACCAGGAGCTTTGACCCTACTGTTAACTCACTTTCTGACTGTAGGAAAGTTATTTCCCCCTTTCCAGGTCCCAGTTTCTTATCTGTAAAATGAAAGATTTGGGCTATGAATTGAGAATCAAAGGATTTCAGAGTTGGAAGAGATCAGGGGGCCCCTGTAGTCTAGCCTATGTCTGAAAAAATAAATTTCCTCTGTAACATACTCAGCAAGTCTCTTTGTCAATCTCAAGTGAGGGGGAACCCACTACTTCCCAGGCAGCTCACTCCACTCTCTCATTAGGAACCTTTTCCCGACCTCAAGCTTAAATTTGTTTCTCTGAAACGTCCACCTCTTGCTCCTGTTTCTGTCTCTGGGGCCAAACAGAATAAGTTTAATCCATCTTTCCTATGACAAGATCTCAAATACTTGAAGGCATTTCTCATGCCCCTTGAGTTTTTCCTGCTCCAGGCTGTCTTGTACTGCACTAATCTTCTGTCACGGGGCCACAGGAAACAAATCATAATAAAGCACTTAAGACTTCATCTCCACATGAGAGGCAGTGGCGGGTCACGGTGTAAGGAGCTTTGGACTTGGCACCTAGCGAGATCCGGCAACGTCATTTGATTCTGCCACATCACTACATCTCGGTTGTGTTGTGGGACCTTGGGGAAGTCCCTTTTTATGTCAGAGCCTTATCTCCCTCCTTATCTATCTATAAATGGTGAATAAGAGTTGTCCTACTATGTACCTGACAAGGTTGTGAGGATCAGAGGAGATGAAGGATGTAGTGGTATGCAAATGCAAGCTATTATTATGATGGCCATTTTTTTCTTTTTCATGTAATGGGAAGTAAGAAGCTATTTTTTTTTTTTTTGGTTAGGCAGTGGGGGTTAAGTGACTTGCCCAGGGTCACACAGCTGGTAAGTGTTATGTGTCTGAGGCTGGATTTGAGCTCAGGTCCTCCTGACTCCAGGGCCAGTGCTCTATCCACTGCGCCACCTAGCTGCCCCGTGAGAAGTTATTTTGGAAAGGGTAATGAGCCCATATGTTAAAATCTGGTTGAAGGGTAAAACACGTTTTCTCTTTTAACATAACATGTAACAGCCTTTGTCCTAAGGTCCCCTAAATTCACAGGGCCTGGGTTCCAATTCTAGGTCTGTCAAGGTTACCTGTGGGACCTTAAGTTCCGTGGGCCTTGGTTTTCTTGTCAGGAGAATGAAGAAGTTGGACCTGATGACCTTCAAACCTATGAACCTATGATCCTAGAAGCTGACGTTATTTACAGCAGCGTAAGGCTCTTGAAGCCTTTTACATATACTTTCATTTGACATATAATAACCTATAAAGAAGGTATTACAGCTGTTGCCTCCAAGAAGATTTGTGACTTTCCCATGATCACCTGGCTAGTGAGTGTTCTAAGGTGGAGAACACAATTTAAGAGAGCTGGGATCTTTTAACATCTTCCCTGGTTCCAGGTCTTTTCCAAGCTCACGGAGCTGCTTCTCATGACATTCTGTGATTTTAACTTACACTATGGAACCTAAAACACTCTCAGTTAGTTCATGTGATCATTTTTCTTTGCCAAACTGTTGTAATATTTTGGGGACTCTTTTTTTTAGCTTGCTTAACTTTAATTGGGGAGAAAAAAGAAAATTCTTGTTAGTAGGAAAGGTAGGATGAGCAGGTGGAGGTTTGTAGACAAAATCAGCTGTAGCATTTTATGATTCTGTTAATTGGATCACAACGCCCTCATGAGGATTCAGTGAGATGATAAAGCACTATTAAAATGTCAGCTGTTACTGTGAGAGGCAGCACGGAGGGAGGGCCGGCCTCTAGCGCATGCTGATTGTGTGACCCTGGATGCCACAGGCCTAAACTCTCTAAGGTGATATGTTGCAGAGGTGATATATTGATCTGTATTGATAGGAAGAAGTTCCTTACCAAGAGTTCCCTATACTAATGAAACCACAGGTGTGGGACCCCTCCCCACCAAAAATGTCATTTTTGGGAAACTTTCCTAGCCTGAACTAACTCTCATTGGCTAAAGTGCTGGACCTGGAGTCAGGAAGACCTGAGTTCAAATCCTGTCTCAAACTCTTACTAGCTGTGTGACTCTGGACAAATCACTTAACCTCTGCCCCAGTTTCCCCCTCTGTAAAATGGGAATAATAACAGTACTTACCCCACCCCCCAAATTGTTGTGAGCGTCAAATGAGATCATATTTGTAAAGTGCTCTGCAAACCTTAAAGTGCTATATAAATACTATTATTATTATTACTATTATAGTGATTATTCTCACTTTCCCATTCTGCAGACAGGCCCAACAAGGAATAAGACAAGGAACTAGGTGTCACGGTTGATAGCTGGCCCAAGAGTCAGAAAGACCTGAGTTAAAATCCGACCTCAGATACTAGCTGTGTGACTCTGGGCAAGTCACTGGACCTCTTTGCCTCAGTTTCCCCATCTGTAAAATGAGAATAGTAGCACTTCCCTCACAGGGTGGTTGTGAGGATCAATTGGATAATAATTGTGAAGTGCTTAGCACAGTACTGGGCACGTTGTAGGCACTATTTAAATATTAGCTGTTATTATAGGAGGAAGGGGGAGAGAAACCCTTTGCTATGTGAAATCTTAGCCCCTCTCTCCTGCCCGTAAGAGATCTGTAGACCCAGCACTAATATAAATTCGTTGATTTAACTTGATGGGGCTGGTCTGTTTATCAACAGGTTTTTTTGTTTAAGGATATTTCTTTCTGAACTAAGAGCTGCTTAGAATCATAGTAACAGAATTGGATTCTGATTTAACCCCCTCATTTTACAAAAGAGGAAGCTTAGGCCCAGGAAAGGGAGATGTGACTTGTCTAAGGCTACAGAATGAGTTTGTGAGTGAATGGATGAGAAAGCATTTATTGTGCTTACTATGTGCAAAGCGCCAGGATAAATCCCGGGGATGCAAATAGAAAAAGAGCAAGCCAGTCCCTTCCCCCAAGCCCCCACATTCTAAAGGGGTGACAACACGTGGAAGATTTCAGCTGGGAGTCAGATGGGAAGGCCCCATGGGCACAGTGGCAAAGAAGATAGAAATACATCCACAGTGTCATTTCCACTGACAAAACCTTTTCCACTTTTGGTGTTGAATCATTTGACAGTGCCAGGGACTTTGGTGGCGTGAGTTTTCCTTTCCAGATCAGTAGCTTTGACTGGTGAGAAAGATAGGGGGTAGCGAGGTCACATCTCCATTAGGGTTAATTCCCTGCATGGTGGCTTCGGGGATTGAGCTGGAATTAGGGTTGGTGATCTTGCGGAAGAAGGGAATACATTGCTACTACCAGGGCTCTTGGGCTCAGATCTTGGGCTGACTCCACTGGGATCTGAAGGGACATGATGGTGGTCATAGTGGTTTGGCTTTTCTGGCATTTGCCACCCCTTACCTCTTTTGTGGTCCTTTGCTACACCAGCTAGTGCCAAAACCAGAAAAGAATTCTCTGAACTCCCTCTCCAGTGTTCTTTATATCATACCCTATTGCCCCTGTTTTCCTCTTATTTGTTAGAAAAGGATAGTAATTGCCCAAAGTAGACCTCAGGGATGGGCTGAGCTGGACTGGGGAAGCCAGAACGAGGCATCAGGGCAAATGTTTGGGGTCAGGCAGGGATTGGAAAGTTGGTTGCAGATTTTATGAAGCAGCAGCTGTTAATCTCGGGATGACCACACAGCAAAGTGAGTTTAGAAAGCAGATTCAAGACAAAGGAAGGCAGAAATCATAGGGTTTTGAACTGGAAGGAAACTTAGGAAACTGCAATCCAACCTGCTTATCAGTTGCAGGCAGAACGGAGCTCTAGCTCTGAATCCTGAAGTTGGAGCAGAGTCTGGGATATGGGATGTCAGTATGGGCAGTGGCAGGGGTGGAGGTGAGGAAGGTTTGAGGCAATGAACATAGCACTGGGATAGCCAGGTGGTATCGTGACAATTGCACAGAAGATGTCGGGAGGTCTAGACCTGTAGCACGAAGGTTCAGGGTTCAGACACCTGGAGATGAGGACTTAAAGACAAAATTTCCAGCCACTGGGAAACTGCATCAAGGGGGGACCAACCTTAAGAGTGATGATGCTGAGCCAAATACCCACTAGTCCTGGGGCTCCTGTACTAACCAAAACCAAGACTAGTCTCAGACTATGCAACAATGCATAAGATCAAAGAATATTGGAACTGGAAGGGACCATAATCACCATCTACTACAACTCCCTCACTTTAAATCTGAGAAAATTGAGGTACAGAAGGTAAAGTGATATCCATAGTAATAGTTGGTTAAGAAGCCAGGCTCTAGACCTAGTTGTTTGACTCCAAAGTCAGGGTTCCTTGATGCCTACAGGTGGCAGAGGAATCACCCCTGCTACAGGTAGGAGAATGGAGGAATGGAAAGTAGACAAGTCAGGAAGCAGCAGCTACCACGGAAGGGTCCATGATAATGTCAGCTCCCCAGTGATATTTACATATTACCTCACAGCATCCTGGGGGGAGGGGCAGGGATCACCATCCACTTTTTGCAGATGAGGAAAGTAAGGCACAGGAAAATATCACGATCTTCCCATGGTCACGTGGCCAGTTCGTGACAGTCAAGTTTTCCATGGTAATATATTCCTAGATCTTTCTGTGGTAACCCACCATCTTTGTGCTTGTGGGAGTGAAACTTCTCTGGATTCTCTTGGAGAAATCTCTAATCTATGTAAATTCTGTAACTCTCCTTCCTACCCAAACTAGAAGGGACTTTAGAATACAGAATATCACAAATTAAAGGGACCTTAGGACATAGAATGATAGAACATAGAAGGTCAGAGCTAGAAGAGATCTTAGAATATAGAATGTCAGCTTGAAGAGATCTTAGAACATAGAAGGTTAAAACATAAGAATGTTTGCATTAGGATGCGTCTTAGTCTGATGTACTTGTCTTGCATGTAGCTGAGGAAACTGAAGTCCAGAGATGGAATGTGATTTGCCCTTGGTCATAGTGGATGGTAGGACTGGGATCGAAACCTAGGTCTTTTGACTCCAGGCCTCACATTCTATGCACTTTTCCAGATTTCTGCTTTCCTGTCTTCTTTTCCAATGACGGAGTCCTCCATGTCCTTGCAGGAATAAGATTGAATGTCCTTGTGACAGAACCTAAATGGGGAATGGGAAGACATGTTGTTTCCAAGTTCCCTTGGCCCTGTCCCTATTCAGAAAGTCAAGTAAGGAGTATAAATACCTTGCCTAGCCCATGTTCCTGGGAATGTTGCTTCCCCCTCCTGATAGACACAAAGCCTTGTTACCTAGTGGGTTTTAGCCAGTCATTGACAGTCATCCTGTTGGTGTGTGCTGATGGTGGTATCTGAAGGAAGCACTTCTAGACTTCTGGGAGGAATGTATGTAATGTTTGGAGGCTCCTGGACGTGTCGAAAGGATGGTTTAGCTCCCTGAAGCTGCTTCCTCCTGCTCTCAGAACAGCCACTGTTCTGGGGTCCACACACTAATTCTGATACTGGCTGCGTGGTAGGATGTATTTTACCAGTTACGTCAAGACACTTGGGCCCTCCTTCAGCATGGTTGGGGCTTCCGGTAGCCTGATTCTTCAAGGTCTCTTCAACAGGATATTCAAGGCTTTCAGTACTGTGAGCTTTAATTCGGAGCCTGCTAAAGGAAGAGGAAAGGTCGTCAAGGTCATCCTCACTGGACCAGTTGTCTTCCCAGGGAGTGCTGTCACAGAGGGCTAGGGCCATGTTGGTTGGTTGGGACTCTGGAGCTGTGCCTGGTTGGGTGGGCCTAGTGGTTCTGCCAAGGCCTGCCACCTCTGCTGGCTTAGGCCTTACCTGTGGGCCAGGGTCCTTACTGTTGTCAGATGTTGGATCTGCAAAAACTGTTAGGGCCTGGGGGCCACTGCATGCCAGAGGGGGCAGAATGGAGGCAACTCTGGACATAGCAGCCTTGTTGGAGACCAAGATACCTTGGTCAGCCCAGCCATGTTGGGACTGGCGCTTCCTCTGGCTACTTGGAGGGAGGTCCTTGGGGAAAATGGGCATCTGGCCAATGAAGATGTCCCTGTAGCAATTCAGGAACTCATCACTGTCTGAACACTTGCTAACATCTTGGACTGCTTCCTGATCATGGGTGAGGACATCTGTGGGAGATGTTCCCCTGGGCAGACTTAGATCTGATTTCAGATGACAGCCATCCCCTGTTCTCCCACTCCATGGGCTTTCAAATTTGCCTTTGTCTGCTGGGTCCTGTGCATCCCTTAGGTTGGAAAACAAATTGCCTGTCTCCTTCTTGCCCAGGAGCCTGGACACCTGGTTGGGATGAGTCTCCGTGTCTTTCAAGCATTCTGGAAGCCTGGGTGGCTGGGCATTTTGTAAAAGGGTGCCCACCTCCTCCCTGTGACCTGACTCAGGAGATATTCCAAGGATGGTTTCACATTCAACTCTGGTGAGGAAGATTTCAAATGCTGTCTGCATGGCTTCCTCCTCGTTTATTTTTCTGACAAGTGAAAATTCCGTGGCTGTTAAGGCAACATAACCTATTTTCTTCAGGATCATTTCCACAGTGTTTTCTGAAAGCACAGACCGAACGGAGTAGACAAAATTACCTGTAAATGTCTGAAACAAAACAAGGCGTTAGGAGTGAGGCAAACCTTTGAGGAAGACCGAACATTGGAGGGAGGAGGATCCTGCTCACTCTGATAACTAGGGGTCCCCAGGGTTTGATGGACAGATGTAGAATCATGGGACTGGGGACCTTGAAGTTAAAGAAACCTAATAGAGTTGGAATGGACATTAAAACAATGAAAAGTTAGAGTGGGATGGGTTCCAAGAACGTAGAATGTTAGATTATAGATAGAGCATAACAATGTTAGGATAAAGATCGTAAAATGTTAAGGTTGAAAGGGATATGACAAGAGAAGGGTATTTGTTAGAACACAAAATAGGTCATGGCTGAGAGGTACCTCCCAGTATAGAATGTTAGAACCAGAAAGGACCTTCAAATGTACAATATTAGAATGTAAGACTTGGCAGGGAATGTAAAGATCATCAAGTCATTTTACAGATAGGGAAACTGAGGTCTATCCAGAGAAGGAAAGTTTTTTTTTTTGTTTTTTTTTTTTAGGCAATCGGGGTTAAGCGACTTGCCCAGGGTCACACAGCTAGTAAGTGTCAAGTGTTCAGTCTGAGGCCAGATTTGAACTCAGGTCCTCCTGACTTCAGGGCTGGTGCTTTATCCACTGCACCACCTAGTTGCCCCAGGAAAGTTATTTTCCCAGTTTGGTATAGGGAGTAAATCTGAAAGCAAAGGACTTCAATTTAGTCCTCACTTTTAGTCCAAGGCTCTTAAAAAAAAAACCAAAAAACAAAACCAAAAGGGACGGCTAGGTGGTGCAGTGGATAGAGCACCAACCCTGGAGTCATAGAGGGCCTGAGTTCAAATCTGGCCTCAGACACTTACTAGCTGTGTGACCCTGGGCAAGTCACTTAACCCCAGTTGCCTTAAAAAAAAAACAACAAAAAAAACCCTCCCAAAATGTAATAATTTTTTGTTTTTGTATCACTTTCATTTCCAAATACCTTCTCCCCTTCCCACACCCCGTGCAGAGAACTATACTTTGTAACAAGGGATAAAGAAAGAAAGTCCCTTGCAAAGAAGGGAGGGAGGGAGGTACATTTTCTCACTTCTTTTCTGGGACTGTCTTGATGATTATAATTTTACAAACATCCCACAGCTGATGCACACCCAGTTAAGACAAGATGGCCTACTTGGGGCAGGGCAGGTGCTCAGGCCAGATAGCCCAGGGACTTTCTATTATGGTTGAATGCAGTAGTAGTGGTGGGGGAAGGTAAGTCAGTGATGAGACCATGGAAGAGGTGTTGATTGGTGAGTCGTGGGGATGGAAGCTGCTTCATCCCCACAGCAATCCTGTGTGTTTTGCAGTTCCCCATCAGCCCTAAGCCAAACAGCATGTGAAAGAAAGATGCATGTTCCCTCAAATTCTGCATTCTGGAGAGGAGGGGGGAGAAGTATGATCCGTCATGTCTGGGCTCATTGGAAAACCCCTGGTGGTCCTGTGATGGTTATGGCTCTGCTCTGGAAGTCAACGAGGTGGCATGGTGGATAGAATGCTAGATTTGGAGTAAAGAAGATCTGAGCTCAGATCCTGCCTCAGACTCTTATTGGCTGTGTCATGCAGGGTGAGTCACTTAAGCTCCCTCAGCCTCAGTTTCCTCATCTGTAAAATGATGGGTGGACTTGATGTTCCCTTCCAGCTCTAAATCTATTACTCTCCCTGAGAAATAGCAGTTACTTTGATTCCTGTGCCTGACCCCAGTGGTAGCAAACTCAAATAGAAATGGGAATCACCAAGGATATAGTGATGCCTTTATTTTATTACACTTTTATTTATTTTGTTAAATATTTTCCAATTTTAATTTAATTTAATTTAAATTTTTCCAATTTTAATCTGGTTGTGGGCTGTCCTCGAAAGTAATAGGCGGTGGGACCCCATATTTGACACTTTGCTCTATGATGCTGAGAACAGGACCTTGAAAATATTAGCTACTTGATAAATATTTGCTGTCTGTATGGTGATTGAAAGACTTTCCAGTCATATGAACACTAGGCTAATAATAAGTTACATAGCACTTTGCATATTTACATATTCCCTGTAAAGTAGGAAGTCAATGTCAGAGGTTCCCAGTGCCCTATATTTACATAGTGCTTTATAAAGAATCTCATTGGATGCTCATGGCACTCCTGTAAGGCAGGCTGGGGTTTTATTAGCCCCATTTTACAGATAAAGAAACTGAGACAGAACCAAGAAGTGACTTGCTCAAGTCCACAGGGGTGGAACCAAGGATCTGGTCCCAGATCTCCTGATTCCCTTCGACTTCATCTCTGGAGTCTTCCTGAAAGCCATTTCCCTGCTGAAGTCAGAAATGTGAGGGGTTGGACTTCTAGAACCTTATGATACTATGCTTCTGATTCCTAAGGAACTGCAGGATCCCACCTTTGCCCTCCTAATCCTTCCCCTCTTATCCCTTACCTTCCTATCTGTTCCTTTTCTCTCTTCAGACTCTCCTCCCCCCTCATCCCCCCTCCGCTGACCCAGGGCTGATAACCAAGTTAAATGCCCTGCTGGTCAGTCCCTTATCTGCTGGGATTAGTACCTACCTTCAGTGACTTTATTTCTCTCCTCCAAGGGAGGAGAAAGAGGTTGACACATATGAGCTCCAGGAATTCCAGTGCTGGCACCAGCCTTGGACATACATTCTCTCCCTGCCCCAGAAGCCCCTGGCAGGAGCCCCCAGTGGTTGCCTCTTCATACAAGCAGAGTCCTCGGGGTTGCCTGGCCCCTGAGGCCAGGAGCTGCCTGGCCTTCTGGGTGACAGCTGGCTGCCTGCAGGCCCACAGCCGCCCATCCCGGCCTCCTGCCCGGTAATAAGTGATGTAGTCTTGGAAAAGCTCCAGTGTTTCCTGCCCAGGGGCTCCTGGGTCTGTCTCTTTCATGGCTTTGGAAGGCGGAGGCCAGGCATTGGCAGGGAGAGGGAGGGAAAGCTCCCCTCCTGTCTGGGGCACCCTGGGGCCTGAAGGAGGAAGTCATTGGCAAGGGTTCCCATTGCCCTGTGATTGGCCAGTTAGGGTTCCCCCACTGGGAGACCCAGGTGGTTGGCTGTCAGAAAGGGCTCAGATTGGGAGGAGTCTGTCAAAGGAGGAAGTACAGAAAGACAGCAGGAAGCAACAGAGAAACTGGTTTGGAAGTCTGGCTCACCCACACTGCTTGCTGTGTCTGAGAGACCAGAGAGGCTGGGGTGAGGATTGTCTGTCAAGCCCGAGACTCAGACCCTGGCAAGGGCTCATCCTGGCCTCTCTCTGCTCTGGCCTGAAGCCAGGCAGCTGCTGGAATGTAGCCCTCAAATGAAAGTTGTCCAAGAAACTAGGGTTGTTCAGCCTGGGGAAGAGATGTCAGTCAGTCAGTCAGTCAACAAACACTATGTGCCCTGTGTGAAGTGTTGGGGTACGAAAAAAAGGCAAGAATAGACCCTGTTTTCAAGGAACTCGCAGTCAAATGGAGAAGACAGCATGCAAACAACTAGGTACAAACAAGATGTTGCTGTTTCAGTCGTGTCTGATTCTTTGTGATCCCAGCTGGGGTTTTCTTGGCAAAGACACTGGCCATTTCCTTCCCTGGCTCATTTTACAGTTGAGGAAACGGAGGCCGATGAGGTTAAATGACTTGCCCAGAGTCACACAGCTAGTGTCTGAAGTAGACTTTGAATTCAGGTCCTCCTGACTCCAGGGCCAGTGCTCTAGCCCCTGATTTTGTAACCCTGGGCAAATCCTGTAACCTTTGGTGCCCTAGGCAGCTCTTTAAGACTTAAGTTGCAAAAGAGTCACTGATCTGTATTGGTGAAGGGAATTTTCTCGCTGGGAATTTCCTACATCAACAAAATTATAGGTGCTCCCCCCATTAGAAACAACATTAAAGATCAATACAAATAACTATGCTTGCTTAATAATATTTATATGGAAAATAATTCATTTAAATGCACCAATTTTGGGTGCATTCAATTTTGGGGTCTCTGTGTCTCCATTGGGATCCTCTCTATCCAATGTTCTTTGCATTACAGTACTGCTGTCTTGATCATGAGTGGGAGTAATCTCTGATAACTTAACCTTTAACTAGCTAAAATGTAGACTACAACAATAAAAGCAGTAGTAGCTAGCATTTACATGGCACCTACTATGTGTCAGGCACTGTGTGCAAAGCGCTTTACAAATATTATCTCATTTGATCCTCACAACAATCCTGGAAGGTCAGTAATATTATTATCCCTTTTTTGCAGTTGAGGAAACTGAGGCAGGCAGTTTTATTATCCTCATTTTGCAGCTGAAGAAAATGAGGTAGGCAGAAGTTAAGTGACTTGCCTAAGGTCACACAGATAGTAAATATCTGTGGCCAGCTTCAAACCCAAGTCTTCCTGACTTCAGGCCTGCCTAGTTGTCTCATAGAAGGACTAGATTTCTTGTGTTTTGATTGGAGTGGACAGAACTAGGAATATGTCAAGACCTAGGTCAGATGTGAAGCCTTGCCCCTTGGCATGTGCATTCTCCTCCCTATGGCATTCCCTTATCTTTGTACTCCTTGCATTCATCCAGTAGATTAGCCAGGGCTATCTCAGTTGTCTTTGTTTTACTCTCATCCAGCTCAGTGGCCTAACAAATGAATAGCAAGCAAATGGTGAAATAAAAATGAAAATGCATGATATAAAAGTAAACTACCCAAGAGGTGGTATTATCTACAAGCCAAATGGATATCCTCGGGATCTTGTGGGTTCCATCTTCAAGCAGAGGCTGTCTAACCACTTGCCGGGGATTTAGCAGAAAGGGCTCCTGTTCAGTATGATTGCACTAGATGACCTTTGGGGCTCTTGCCATCTCTGGCATTCTATGATGCTTTCAATAATCCATGTATCTGGATTTAATTTTGAGAACTCCTCTTTAATAATCACTATAATTGGTGCTTCCACTCAAGGACGTGATTGTATGGAAACATCAGAATCTGGTTCATGTCTTTATGACAGTCCTCAACACTCAGCACAGTGCCTGGCACATAGTAGGAACTAAATAAATATTTATTAACTGACTGCAAGCATCAGGCTAACAAGTACAAAACTGTAGAACAGATTATTTAAGAGTAAGGAGCACAAGAAGGATTTGAATCTGAGCCTTTAGCAAAGCTAAGATCAGAGAGAACCCCTCCTGGTGAGCCCCATTTCCCAAACCACAAGTTTGGCTCACAGGCCTTGCAAATATAGGACCGGCTAGTGAAATCTCTGCCTCATGGGGATCCACTTTAAATTTAGCAGAGGACCAGAATCCCTGGTGCGGATCAAGGTTCTCAATGCCACCATGTGCCAGTCCAAGCAGGAGCCTGCTGCCACTGCTTCAGAGAGGCACCAGTTGGCCACTGTTGTGGCTCCCCACTCTGTCTCTTAGTGTATCTTTAAAACTTCTCTGCATTTGTCTGCCTTGGCTCTTGATCCACAGTGTTAATGATGGTTAATGAAGTGATGCCAGGTCTGGCTCACTCTCCAAATTGGAAACCTATGACCTGCTTCCTGCACAGGTGTCACCAGACACTTGAGAGCTGTGTGCCTGGGGACAAGTCCCTTCACTTGTGGGAACCTCAATTTCTTAAATTCTTGCACTATTTTCCTATTTCTCACATCACCACCTAGAAATTGGATGTATCACACTGGATGTCTTATAGGCACATCTAAAACAGAACTTTTCCTCAAACCCTCCCCACTTCACAACTTTCCAATTACTGTCCAGGGTGCTACTGGGCAGTGAGCAAGCCTTAGACTAATGGTCTGGGCCAGGGGTGGGAACCTGTGGCCTTGAGGCCACATGTGGCCCTCTAGGTCTTCAAGACTGAAACTAAATGGGCTGCACTTGAGGACCTAGAGGGTTACATGTGGCCTCGAGGCTGCAGGTTCCTTACCTCTGTTGGACCCTCACCCCTAGTGATGAGGGGGCCTGGTGGGAACACTAGCATCATTTGAAAAATAGCTCTTGGGCTGCCCCTCTCCTGATAAACCCCGGCGAGGGAATAAAATGCAGGGCCACTCTTCACCTGGAGCCAGCTTAGCACTGATGGTGCTTGGGAAGAAGGCTCCCTGTGATACGGTGGGGCTGAGCATTTCCCTCTTCTCCCCATATGGACCACGCCTTCTTTTCCCCTTCCATGATCACTGTTGTGTGTGTATGTGTGAGTATCCTGCTGTGCTGCTGGATTGGACTGCCCAGTCATGCCAGACCCAAGAACTCCTCTTGCAAGGCTAATAAACCATTGTAGCAGTCAGCACTTCCAGGTGTCTCTCCTAGTTTAGCCAGCCCAACCACCATGCTCCCATCCAGGCTCCTTTCCTTGGTGAGTCATCCTGGACTCCTTGCTTACTTTCATGAGCACAAATCCAATCAGTAGCTATTTTATACTTCCCTTTCCACTCCTGCAGCCACCAACCAAATACAACAATACAAAACAGGCCCATGGGAGGAACCAAGATGGCAGAGTAGAGGCAGCAACCCAGCCAAACCCAGATTGTTCTCATCTGCCCATCGTACCAGGGAAATGTACCATGCTTGGGGTAGAGACCCCCTAATTCACTGAAGGGGTTGGCAACTGTCAGTTCCCCTCAGCCTGGTTTAGCCCATCTGCTGAGATAGTTTTACCAGGGTGTGGCTGCTGTTACAGCTTCTTGGAGCGACAGGCGAGAGTTAAGTGTCAGGTGGACACCTATGGGGTGTTCAAGGAGGACTAGCACCTCTAGTGTGAGGACTTGCTGAGCCTTTTTTTTTAAAAATATGTTTTATTCCCACCCCCAAATTACATGCTAAAACAATTTTGAAACTTTTTTTAAAGTTTTGAGTTCCAAATTCCCTCCCCCTCCCCCCCTCCCTCCATGATGGTAAGCAATCAGATATAGGTTATACATGTGCAATCATGTAAACATTTCCATATTAGTCATTTTGTACAAGAAGACTCAAATTAAAAAAAAAAGAAAGTGAAAAATAGCTTGCTTCAGTATGTATTCAATTAATACCAGTTCTTTCTCTGGAGGTTGATAGTATACTTCATCATTAATCCTTTGGGATTGTCTTGAATCATTGTATTGTTGAGAATAGCAAAGTCATTCACAATTCTTCATTGGACAATATTACTGTTGTGTATATTGTGTATAACCACTTTGCATCAGTTCATGTAAGTCTTTCGAGGTTATTCTGAAATCACTATGCTTGCCATTTCCTTTTTCTTTTTCTTTTTCTTTTTTTTAGGCAATTGGGGTTAAGTGACTTGTCCAGGGTCACACAGCTAGGACATGTCAAGTGTTTGGTCTGAGGCTGGATTTGAACTCAGGTCCTCCTGACTTCAGGGCCAGTACTCTATCCACTTCACCACCTACCTGCCCCCTGCTTGCCATTTCTTAACAGCACAATAATATTCCATCACAACCATATATCACAGCTTGTTTAGCCATTCCCCAATTGATGGGCATCCCTTTAATTTCCAATTCTCAATTCCAATTCTGATTCACAAAAATAGCTGCTATAAATGTTTCTGTACAAATAGGTCCTTCCCCCACCCCTTTTTATGTCTTTGGGATGTAGACCTAGCAGTGGTATTGCTGGATCAAAGGATATGCACAGTTTTATAGCCCTTTGGGCATAGTTCCAAATTGCTCCACAGAATGGTTGGATCAGTTCACAACTCCACTGACAATGCATTAGTGTCCCAGTTTTCTTACAACCCCTCCAGTATTCATCATTTCCCCTTTTTGTCATAGAGCCAAACTGATAGGTATGAGATGGTATCTCAGTGGTGTTTTAATTTTTTTAATTTTAATTTTTTTTGCTTTTGTTGTTTTAATTTTTTGCTGAGCCCTTTTCAGGGCTGCTCATCCACCTTTCATAGGGTCACATAATCTATAAGAGAGAAAGGCAAATCTCCTGTCTCCTTTTCCCTTTCCACTTCTCTCATCTGGGCTGAGATGAAGCAGCTAGATGGCATAGTGACAGTGGCACTGGGCCTG